TGTTACGCATTAAAGACGACCAATTTACACTCGTCTAACTTTGCTCTTGTCGTGGGACTCTGCAGGGGTTCGTTTTTGATAACAAAACCCGATGAAATGATGGACAGAATTTCTTTAACAGGTTTTACTTCTGATATAATGTAATTATATTTTCTTCCGCTCGTGGTCTCCACTGACATTTTTAAATGAAGCCAGTGCCAGTGGACCAAACATTAAACAGAGAACAGCTGCAGGATTTAGTGTTGTTCTTGTTCTCAGTGCTGTAATTATGCTGTTGACCATATTAATCTGTTACTATGTGCGTCCACTCAGCATAACTAATGACATTGTTCTGGACAACCTGCATTCTTGTCTTAATCTTTCTGGAACGCTTAGCAGAGCAAACAGAGCCGGCCAGATGAAGCTGCACAAGACGAACAAGGAGACAAAATTTGGGATTTTATCTGTATAACGGTTAGCATGGATCGTATTCGATTTCTTTTAGATTTTTACAGCAACCTCAGAAAAGAGAAGAGATGAGAACGAGTGAAGGTATCTATGATATTTCCAATATAAGTCTGGTAATAAAGTAAGTGTTTAAGTCTTCTATAATGAAAAGGTCTCTGTTGTAAACTGAGTATAGTTCAGTTTAAGATGACTGCTGTTGGTTGCAGCCCTATGTAAGATACTACTACCGTTAATACTATGGGGAAATTGCTGTATCGTCAGCATTTACTGAAAAGGCAAAATATCAAAGAAAGAAAAAACAACAGAAATCTTCAAAAGCAGAGCGACCTTCACATGGATCACAAATGTGAAAAAAAAAACTTGAAAATGTCCCTAGAAAAGAGGCCTTATTAGGTCTCCGTTGACTTCCCTAGATTCACAAAAAAAGAAAAGAAAGGAGGCTGCGTTGTCATGGCAACACTGCGTAAAAATAACACAAGCTTATTTTCCACAAGCTGGAAATAAAATGGAACGGGATCAGTTTGGACAAACAAGATCAAAATGGTTGCTAATTCGGAGACACGAGAAGCGGCACCCTTCACACGGATGCAGCGCATCGACGGGGCCTACGTCAGGTTCCCTCTGGTCATCGGCTCCCCCGTTATCTGACGACCAGATCCCATTACTCATGTAAAGAAACCAGCGCTTGTCAGGATAATGATCGTGATAAAAGAAACGCTCACGCCCCACTAATTCCTCCATCCCAGAAGCCTCCGCAGCTGGTTTGTTTAAATCTCTTAATTCACAGCCAGCTAATTAACATTCAGAGAATGGTGTTATAGTACAGTCAGTGCCTCTTAACGACCATCAACCTCAGGTATTTTACATGTAATTAACCAACAGAATGAAGAAAAGACAAGGAGGGAAAATACTTATATACCTCCCTCCTTATTCTCGCATTGGCGTGCATATCGTGGCTGTATACTCAACATATTGATGCCGTGCCGGGGAGCTTATTATGCACCGCCAATGCATTGCCGAGACAACAGACTCAACTTTTATTTAATCAGCTGCACTGTCTGTGTGCAGAACACTTTTTAATGCACCGTAACCAGGGTTGGGTTTCTGGATCTGTGATTTCAGCAAAAACAAACAGCCATATGCAAATGCCATTTTAGCTGCTAAATAAGGGAGATGCGTCATTGAGCGGGATGCCAGAGGCATACAGACAGACAGACAGACAGACAGGCGGAGATAAACAGGGAGGTGGAGGGTGGGAGGGGGTGGGGCGGGGGGGCGGGGGAGGGCAGGGTATTGGCCGTGATATCAGAGCCGTGCCATATTTTTGCACTGACCCCGGCGTGTCGGCAGGGCCGAACCCAGAGAGGATGTGTGGTCGCACCTCGGACTCGGAGGACACTTCTCCCTCAAAATAGCCCATTTGTAATGTCATGCAGGCGAGGCCGCTACCACGACGCCGACTGACCCGCACATTTCTATCGCCCGACAACACCGCTGACCTTCGAGCCCGCGACGGGCCTTCGTTGAGGTTTACAAGAGAATGCACCCAAAAAGTGACTCCGCTCTGGCACGTACACGTGTGAACCAAGCTCCTACAAGTGCACAAAGAAAGCAACAAATCCCATTGAGCACGGAAACACCGGCTCAACCAGCAGCCTGCCCTTCATGTCAGCTTAGAAAAAAAGAAATGACTTCAATCAGCCTCGACCAAAATGCAGAGTTCATTCTCCACCAGAGGCCTTTTTATCTTTAATTAGAAGTGAGCAGCTGTCTACAACCCTAACCTGCTCACAAACTCTCATTTCAAACCCAATCACATTCTTCCATACTGACAGAAAATGGCCCTTTCTTTAGGTTCATATATTGTCGAGATAAAACAGTGTTACTGTTGAGGTGAAGAGTATTAACATTTTGTATTTCTCTTTCTTTCATCTTCATCAGATTTCATAATCTTTTCAGCACTTTATTCTTCTTTCGACTTCTAGGTGGAGGTAATCCTAAAAAAAAATGGCAATAAATACCCAGCTATATTTTTCCAGTTTTTTCTTTGTTTGTTCTATGATAATAAAGGAGGATCGAGTGTTCTGGACAGCTGATTGGACACGACACTTGAAAACATGGGCTCCAGGAACTTATTGACATTTCTCAATTTTTGTGGATATTTTTGAGACAAAACGATTGATAAAGTGAATAATAATCACTTGCAGCCCTTTTATTCCCTCGATCCTTGAATATATTATTTTTAATGATTATGGCCTCCTGAAGCTTACTGAGATACCAAAGATTTCAGGCTACAATTCGAGGGAAATTTATTTAAAACAATGCTGAAAAGATATAGAATATCCAATTAAGTAATTGGCCGTCATATATCTTAAATAGCGAGCTGAAACACACTGTTGAAGAATCAATGTACGATAGAGTCAGCCAGTGTGGAATAAGATTTTTCAAACCCTAAAGCCACTTAAAACTAAGGGTATTGAGGGGTTAATGAGCCGCTGGCTGCAGCTCTCTTGTGGTAACACGGGGCTCGCTGTATATTTCTCCCGGGCCTCCACCAGGACGTAGATATCATTAAAGGGGACGCCGCTCACAGTAACCTTCACCTCTCGCCCACCCTGCTCTCGGCCGCCTTCCCCCCGGTCTCATCCCAGACCCTCCCTGTTGCTTTCCCTCTCAGCACTTTAATCTTTTAAAGCGGCTACCCTCGATGAGGAAGATCAAAGCAGCCCAGCAGCGAGCACAGGTCGCCAGCTCCATCCTCGTGATCACGGCGGAGGGTGATATCATTGATGTCTCTGAGATCAATGCCATCGGCTGCTGTTATCCCCTGTTTGTACCAAAGAGAGCTGGGCGAGGGGAAGGAAGGACCAGGAGAATCCTTGTTATGTAAGTGGCGGGCCGGATTGCTCACAAGGTGACAACGCGTGGAACACAAAACCGCCGAGGCCTTGGAAGTTTTCCTATTGAACTTTTTGTCTAAATTTGTCTGTGGTATCAGAGGGACGCCTGTGCAGATCTGGAGAGCTTTCCTGAGAAATGAGCGAGATGAACGCTCTCTCATAGCCACGGGGAGTTGCGTGACGTCGGCCGCCATTGGAGCCCAGTTTTGCGCCTTGCTACACACACACACACACACACACACACGGCGATATATGAAGCTGTGTTTTTTTTCCAGATGATTGCTCGCATAGATGCCTAGTTCTTAAGTAAGATAACCCTTTGGAGCAAGGCAGAGGTGGATTACATGGCTGCTGAGCCCGGAGTCACAGCCAGGGATCCCGTCAGAGTGGTGGGAGGGGACGGATGGAGGCGGGAGAGGGAGAAAGAGTGAGGGGTTTCTATTTCAAATCTCCCCAGAACCCCAAGGCACTTCCGCTCTGGCTGCATCCTCCACCAAAATAAACCATTTCCATCAGAGGAAACTGACCATATTCAGTGCTTTTTGTCATCCGTGTGCTAAAAACCTGCAATGTCCTAAAAGACTCATTTGGAACAGTCCAAAATGGCCACAGCGATTTGACAGGTGGCCAAATCAAACTTAGAAATGGCTCACTTTAGAATGGAGAACACATCTCTTCCAGTTCCTACTGGGAAACGTGTTTTTCTTGCTCTTATATAACGTCTCCATTATGTCGCTCCATGGAGAGGCCGCCTTATGAATGATCTTTTATTACACTCTGAATTATCTGCGAGGACTGCCCTCAATATTCATCTCAAAACCCACGAGCAAAACCAGCGGTTCTGAACCCAACAGAGAGACACTGGAGTTGTTCAAATTGACGTCAGTTTCCTGTGGGTTGCAGTTGATCTCTGCCTGTCTCACGGATCAATAGGTGCTCTTACAGGGACTGCTGAACTTTTCCCCTGTCCTCTCCAAGACTCACGTAACGTTCACCTTTGCGCACAAAAACGCTTTAGCCAAAACGTGTGACCGGACATATTAACAAATTGCTTACGACATCTGATAAGTAAGGGGGGGGGGGGGTCGTTTCACCTCGATGGTAAGGTAATTAAAATAATGAAGAGCCATCAAGACACCAAAAGGATGCCAGTTTGGAGAGGATTGTGTTTTATTTCTCATTTATTTTATAGGTAACTGCATGGAGAGGGGAGGAGGGGAGTGGGTGTCAACAAAATTACACCACCAAGGCTTGACAACGTGAAGCAGTCAGCAACACACACACACGCGCGCGCGCGCACATACACAACACACATGCAGCTCTCCGCGCGCGCAGCCGGGGCCGTGCGTCCGAGTGCGCCAGTGAGTGTGTGATTTGAATTCAAATGCAGCAACACACCAGAGCAGTAAATGCGGAGACATGGAGGAGGATGGCGATGATGTGTTTGGGAACGGAAGCGTTTTTCTTTTTTCTTTTTTTTTAGCCCCCCCCCCTAAAAAAAATGTATTCACAAGATGCCTCGTCTCCGCTCACATTATCGCGGCTTCTCTCACGCACCAGTATCCGCGATAAGTAGCCCACTTCAGGGGCAATCCAACCGCGCCGCGCAATTGGCAACATTAAGCGGGGTAATAATCATGAAGGTGCACCTACCATGTTGACTTCAGAGACCATGTCTATGCTGGATATGTCTATATTCATTCCCACGGCCACCGGCGCACCTGCGAAGGAACAGAGGCGTTAATAAAAGAAAAGACGTATGAATAATTCTCTCATCATGTAAATTTATCAAATTCGTGACGCGAGCTCGGGTTCCTCTCGGCTCTCCTCCACCTACAGGAGACTTGAGCATCATCGGCCTCAGCGGAGAAAAAACATGTTATGTTTAACACGCCGATGCGATTAAATGCGGTTAATTCCATCTGTTCAATGGGATAACCAAACATTCATGAGCGGGATCGATCACGCTAAAAAAAAAAAAGCCCGTCTTATCTCTTCCATCAAATGAAATATGCACATGCTTTCTCGTAGACTAATTGGAAAGGCCTATTTGTCTGTAAATTAAAAAATTTGCGATTCATTAAACATGTATCGCGCGTCAGGAGGGTGAGAAAACATGACATCCATTTTCAATTTGCTCGTTACCTCCGAAATCTGGCCTCAACCGAATGTCGTATCCTTTCATCAGCCTGTCCACGGTTTCCTTCACCAGAGGCATATTGCTCGGGTCTTTGAGATCCTTGGAGCTGTGAGAGAAAAGGGTGGTGTGATGCAAAACAGCTTATTAATATTGCGCGCCGGGCACGCTTTCACCGATGCTACATGGCATGCAAGACCGACGACAGAAAACGAGATTACCTTTGAGTCACGACAAATGTCATGAGTAAAGAAAAAGCAAAAATCCCAACGTGGTTTTTCCTGATCCTCCCCATCGCGACAGTTTTTGAGGCGGTTTCGGGATGCGAGTGAGGAGAGCGCGCATCCAACTTACTCCAGACAGTGCAGAGGAGCCAATGAGAGGCGCATGCGTGCAGCCAGCCCAGATCAAAGAGTGGAGTCTGATGATGGTGGATGAGCAGTTTCCATTGCAGAGAAAAATATTAAAGGGACAAGTGGTTGTGCGTAATGAAGAAGCGAGCGTATGTGCCAGGTGTGAAATGAGCGACAGCGGTGTTGATTTCAGAATTTTTTTATTGTTACCACTTGGCAGTTGAGTTGGTGTACAAGGTCAAACGATCGGATGCACTGAAGGGTTCGAGTGGTCAAAACGTCAACTTAAGCTCAAGTTTATTCCCTCAGCTTTCATGTCAGTGTGCACGAGGAATGGATGAAAAGGAATGGAACACTGTTCAAGGTTTACACTTACAAACATCTGGGCCCCACAATCATGCAGCATTCAAAAATAGAAAATGAGTGTCATCAACACCCATGGGTATTATATCCTAGTCCTCTCTGCAATGTTTCCAGAAGACCTGCAGCAGACCTGACAATGAAGGAGCACCAGAGCGCCCGAGCGGAAAGGTGGGATGGAAAACACAATCCCACAATTCATTTTCTCAGGTTTGAGTACATTTCTGAAGCCGCGGGGAGGGATGCGAGCCTCCTCTAAATTGCCTTTGATCTTGTTGTAGTGGGAGCCGTGCTTCTGTAGAGGGCAGGCTTCTGAAAGCATTGGTTCACTGTTGCATCACCGCCAGTTACAGCCATCACAGATTATATCATGCACTTCTTTTTGATGTGTTTCTAAGTGTGTGTGTGTGTGTGTGTGTGTGTGTGTGTGTGTGTGTGTGTGTGTGTGTGTGTGTGTGTGTGTGTGTGTGTGAGCGTCATAGCGTGCCGTAGTGGCGCCTGTCGCTTTCTAAGGGGCCCGAGATGTTGTCGTGTGTACGTGGCAGGCTTTAAAGTGATTGCGGCCCGTGAAGGGCAGCTCTTCAGCTGCTGATCAGGACACAACTGGGCAGTGGTCACAGCCTGTGAAATGAGTAGATGTGCGGCAGGAGAATAAATGATTTTCTGATTCATTTCCTCTGTCAGATGAGGGCTTGTTCACACACACACACACAGAGAGAGAGAGAGAGAGAGAGAGCAGGGGTGAAGTCAGGCTGGCTGGATACTGAAGGTCTCTCTCCGGCGGCACGTGCCCTTTTCCAGGTCCTCTTAGTTGCTAAGAACCACGTCCCTGCAAGACCAAAATACGGGAGAGCATTGAATGAGTGAAGGAGAACCCTCTCTGCAGTGCACTGCACAGCCCAACCTGTGTGCTCCCTGTACTGTCAGAGCCTTCTTTAACAGCACCTAACGGGGACGTGTGGCAAAAATATGCAAAGGGAATAGATGTGATTCTGCTGTCTCATTATTCTTCAGAACACCATAAACAAAACAACCATAAAAAAGATCGTACGGGAACATGAGATGCATGTTGAGCAGATTTGCACTCCATACTGTTGCATAACACATCTCTCCCTCTCTCTCTCTCTCTCTTTTTACTCTGTATTCCTCTCTTTCTGTCTCGGACATGGAGCTTCGTGTTCAATAAGTGGCTCACTCGCGGGGAAGAGAATAGTCTCTTTTTCATGTTGTTAGTGTACAAAGCTTTGGTTTCCTTTTCCCTTTCCAGACCTCCACTGGGAGCACGGAGAAACAGTGTTGTCATTAAAACAGCTGGGGTTTCACCGGCCCTCAGGTGAACCTTATATAAAAGAGGAGAGAAATGTATGGATATTTTTCTTAAATTTACTAAGCCGGGCCTTTTTGTATTTATAAAAGCCACATTGCTGGTGTAAATTCAGCAACAACAAGACCAAACATCATTCTCTTTCTTTCTTCATCCTTCAACTCCAGGGGGCTTCAGCATCAGAAATTATTGATGTCTTTACTGCCGGGATAAAAGTCTTTGACAAAAACTGTGGGTAGTTACTGTTCTACTAAAGCTATGAAACTTCAATCAGAGTGAGACGGATATCTGTGAGGTACAAAGTAATTATGGATAAGTACTATGATAAAATGTTGAAGGCTTTTGTCGAAGATTTGATCATGGGTAAAAACACTAGTAGTTCAAGTCCCCGGTTCAAAATGATGGGGTTAGGACAGTCCCATTGACTGATGTACCTGGCACTCTCCATGGTGTCCTTGGCCAAGTACATGTACCAGTAGACCAGGTTGAAGAGGGCGAAGGCCAGGGGGAAGAGGATGCGGGCATACGCGTCGATGGGGCTGGTGCCGGCCAGCTGCGGGATTGGAGGAAATGCGGAGCCCTGCTGGAGGAAAATTGGCAGCGGCGGAGAATCTCCTGGATCACTGCGACACACTGAGTGGTTTCTCCTCTTTAGGCCTTCCTGAGGGCAGTTGTCCAGCTGCTGGGGGCAATGTGGAGACTGAGTTAGTGGGGGCTTTCTACTCGGTGAGAGAAGAGGGTTAGTGGTGTAAGGGAAACCAAACTAGCCAGCAAGTACACGCATGTTAACATGCCATAAGTTATGTTGATTCCCACAGGAGCTTTTTTTTTAATGGCATGCCAACATCTCCATAGAACGCAGCAGGTAGTTTGCTGGATGCCCATAGTGTGGGTAAGAGATTATGCAGGGAGGAGTGCTGTAGTTAGTCGGTGTTCTCACACTGAGGCTATTTTTAAAACATCTAACCATGAGCCCTGCACGTGAGACAGACCCCAGGAGGACGCAGTAGTGGCTTACTGTATTAGCATTCAGCATATAGCTCTACAACAGCCCCTATTACTATTTAATGCGTGGTGTGCCCTGAATGAGGAGAATGGAACATGCTGGACGACTACGTGGAAATGCATTGAAAAAGACCTGATCTGGCAACGTGATCTCCAAAACCTGTTTGTAAAAATGTAGACGAAAATTTTGAACATACAAATTCGTAACAATACATACGAACTGGCGGGGGTTAACCACGCCCCTTGAGTGAACAACATGGCGGACCATGTCGGATTCTTGAGTGAACGTCTCTGTAAAAAAAATGCAATCATAACACGGTTATTTTACATCGTTAGACTTTCTACAGGGTGCAGGTCCCCATTCACTTTGAATAGGGTGACGTCATCAGTTGCAGTCCGTATTTATTTTGTATGTATGTATGTATTTTCGTATACATTTTTACGAACAGGTTTTGGAGATCAGGCTGGATCTGGGGCACGATTTCTTTCTCTCTACATGAGTGTGAAGCTGCCTGCTTCCTGCTCATAACGACCATCACGGCATCGTCAAACTCTGCACCGAGCAGGCTCTGCTCGACGTACCACTGACCATTATAAGCAATGTACAGGAGTTTGAGATAGATATTAATTCTTCAAATGATGTCATAAGATGATGTTGCTGAGCCGGTAGCTTTCATGCAAAACCTGGTGTACTTAAATCAATTCTTAAGCCAACCAGGTAGCAACAGATATTAATAGAACGGATAAAAGATTTTGTGAAAGACGCTTATTTGCTTTCTTAGCGAGCATTTTGTGATCCGCTTGATCCGCTCAGTTGTGGTGTTTGTACGCGAAAGATGCCGCTGGAGCCAAAAGCAGGTGAACTTTGTTTAGCATTAAGACTGAAAGCTGTGCTCAGTGGTTACTTCATATTTAGCATACATACATCTGTAGATAAAAAAAACTATTTAACTACATTCAGTATCTTTATTTTATCCAACGTCAAATATCATACAATTTGCCTGAAAATCACCTTAAGCTCCTCTTAGCGTGCGTTAGCAGTGGCTAAGTGTCATCAGCCCACGGTAATGTTGCGCAACAAACACCAGATAAGGTCACATTAGACATGTTATGTCAGCAACTTATTCACCATGCCTACCCACACGACGAGAGGAAGCTAGGCTAGACTACAGTCATTTGTTCCCAAAACGCAACAGAAAACGAACACCAAGCAATTAAACGAGCAAACAGCAGAGCTGAATGTGCACATGCACCTGGTGACTGTTGACTGACCTGTGGTGCTGCATTCATCCGTAGGATAACATCATGTTCCACTAGTCATCGCATCATGTTTTTCCACATTTTTACCTCTTTGGTGAGTGTTACATGTCTCATGTTAATGTTACAACCACACGCTTTTCTAAGCTTTTACATTGAATATGAATTGAAACAGCAAAGACAAACACGTGCATGCAGACTCAACCAATAAAACCAGTTGACTCGTGATTCGGGTTACACGGCCATCCCCCACGTTTAAGACAGTCACGTGAAGTTCGATTCTCACCAAAGAGTTGTCGTCGTCGCTGCCGGTCGCCAGCACCTCAAGCTTGTCTTGTCTAACTTTCTGCTTCTTCAGGCGGTTGGCCTGCAGGGTGGCGAGGTAGTTCACTGCCGCGAACTCCACGAGAGCCGATGCCACGAAGGCGAAACACACAGCGATGAACCAATCCATGGCCGTGGCATAGGCTACTTTGGGAAGTGACTCTCGGGCGCTGATGCTCAAGGTGGTCATGGTCAACACTGTTGTGATCCCTGGAGGGAGACAAGCGTTGGTGAAATACACATGAAGAAGAATAACAATGTCAAACATGACCGGTAAACATCGAGTGGGGGCAAAGGCGCCGTACCAGCGACTGTGCGTGCGGGAACGGACTCTTTGTTGATCCAAAAAGACACTTGTGACAGCACGACCACCATTATGAGAGGGATGTACGTCTGGATGAGGTAGTAGCCCAGCTTCCTCTGCAGGTGGAAATGGACCACCTGCACAGAGTAGTGACCTGCAAGATCAAAAGCATGTGTGAAGAGAGCAGCCCCGGGGGGGGCGGGTAGCACACAACGGATGCCCTTGCCTGCCCTTCAAACAGTAAAGCTGCCGAAGGAAACGTTTAGAGGCATTTCTGGTGTTACGGGTGGAATAACCCTCCAGCTGCAACAAAGCGTTTGAGAGGCAAGAGGAAGAAAGACAGGAAGGACCGAAAAGAAGGAGGGAGCACGGCGGACATTTATTTAGAAAAGAAGGAGCGAGTGAGGAGGGGGCAGAAGAGGAGCATGCAGTGTCATACGCGTAACTGCCCTGCCCTATCTGAACACACACACACACACATTTACTCTCTCTCCTTCTTTATTTTGGTTTTCTAAATGGGTATCATTCCTACATTCTTATGCCTGCCTCAACCTTTTCCTCTCTATTCCACGGATCTGCTGAGTTCACATGAGGGGAGCACTTCACCTACACACACACAGACACACACACAGACACACACTACCCCATCCTTCCTCCTCGATTTCTGTCGGTGCATTTGTTTGGTTTTCCATCCATCGCTCTGAAGGAAGTTGCTCTTATTTTGGCTCTACTCTGGGCGGGTAATGGACACCAGTGTTTGGAGCAGCTCAGCTGACCTCTTTTTGCACTCAGATTCATCAGCTCGTGAGATAAAAAAAAGAAATTTAAAAGTCTAAGTGGGGGAAGGCTACAGTCTCCTTATGAAAGAGTAACATGATAGCGGACAGAGAGCGTTACCTGTGTTTGATTTGAATATCTCACTAGACAGCGTCTGTCCCACCAGGTCATACTGCAGAAGGCTCATGGACTCAGCAGGACAATCAACCGATGCTATTGGTCCCTTCCGCCAAGTGAAAATAATTTCACTGCTTGTGTAGGCATCTACAAATGCAAAGGCAATTAGAAAAAGAAGAAACATTCTAAGGGTTGACACATTCTTGAATCTGGACATTGTCATTCCTTCTGTTCATGAACACATCTGTTGAACTTACAACTTCCAAACCTGAGAGGACACGCGTGGCCGTCCATGGGGAAGTCCATAAGCCTCATTGGACATTCTGAAGTGATTGTCAGTCTAACAGCAAGAGAACACACGGACACAAGTTATCTCTTCCTGTAGACTAGTGTCCACAAAAGATCCAATTAACTAAACAGTGGGTGTTCGACCCAGGATCACCTCATGGTGTAGAGGACGGTGCCGTTCTGCATGATTCGGAACAGTTTGTTGGGCGTGGTCATGTTATGAGAAATGGACTTCTTGGAGTTTCGGAAAAAAGTGTCCGGCGTCCAGATCTTGTCCACCATGCGGTTGTTCAGCCGCAGGATTTCAGAGGGGCCTTCAAACTTAAGCCGCTCGTCAACCCACATCTGACGGAAGAACATGTCCATGGTGTACTCCTAATGCATATACATTACATGTTAGTGGATGTCAAACAAACCACCCACAGCTTTACATTTCAATCTTCGTCCCAGACATTCACCAGTACGCGTAATACTGGGGAGACATTTCAACTGGCCATATAAGGTGCGGAGAGATGACGAGGCAATGATGGATGCCACTCATCACAGATAATCATTAATCAATCTATTCAGCCATTCCCTCTGTCTGACGTGTTGTCATATTGATTTAGAGGACATCAACAATGGAGTTATAGGGCCGGTCAAACAGATTAAAGCTGATTGGGTGGTCTCGTGGCAGTTTGCCCATAAGGCAGAAATTCAGCGGTCACCAAAGCGCTTTCATCTCCATGAGTCAGCACTTACAAATCTTCTTACAACATTAGTATCTCACCATCTCAACATCTGATACTGGTCCAAAGCTGGTGACAAAGATGTCTGTTTTCACCTCTGTAAGACCACCTATAGAAGTAATAAACAACTGTATAATACACACAATATGCACAAAAATAGTCTTCCACCAATGTTATAATTTATCAATGAATATATGTTTTTTCAGAGACCATGCTTTAGGATTCAATGTCAAAATTACCTCCAGATCCAGGTCGCAATCTGTTGTCATAACCATCCAAAAGTCGATCCAAAATGAGGGTGATATTGTCCGAGTAAATCTTCCCAGTTCCCTGTACATTACCAAGACTGCAGAGGAAATAAAGGTTAAACTTGCAGACTCGTTGTACTCAAACCCTTGTTTAAGCAGAGAGGGAAGACTTACGTTATCCAGCAGATAAATGTAATACAAGTTAATGTCAGAAGGGCCATCCTGGGCAGCATTTATCCCAAAATATACGGTCAATTCTCAAAACAAATCATCCTTTGTAAAACAGCATTGAGGGCAGTTAAAACAGAGCTACAGTCCTTATTGGTGTTAAAGTGACTGGTAGGTATGCATAAGGACACCGGAGGCACTTAGTCAAGAACAGTAATCTAATTAACAGATTAGTAAATCCACTCCATTTTTAGACAAACACCACTTTATCTTGGTTTCATTTAAACCATCCCACAGTACATTGATGAAGAAAAAAACAAACAGGAAAGACTTAAATAAATGTTAGTTCCTCACAATGAAACACTGACATAAAAGTCTGACGTGTGTCGCTCGTAAATTTATTTTTTTTCGGCTGTAGTTCATTTTACTAGACAGCAGGTGGCGCTTTGGCCAGAAATACCGCACTGAAGCTGCAATCATTCCTGAGAGCAGAAGAAGAGTGAGAGGCACTCACACAGTTTTAGACATCACTACAGACTGACGCCGTACAACACAGGCTAACCATCGAATACTAAACATATTTAACTTGACATGTTCATAACAACAATTCCACAAAGCCCAGCAAGGGACGGCGAGGATCAACCGCGTGGCAAACTGTTAGCATAACTTTTCTGTTAGCCAGACGCCGTGTGACGTCAGTCTGCTAGCTGTGGTTAGCCGACGTTAGCTGACCTTAGCTTTGCGCTAACCGACCTGTCGGCCGGCGCGGAGCCGCAGCATGTCGGTGCACTTCGAGGAGCGCAGCGGCGTTGTCCCCTGCAAGACGCCGTGGGGCTCCTGGTACCAGACCATGGAGGAGGTTTTCATCGAAGTCAATGTGCCCAATGGGACGTCCGGTAAGGAAGTCAAGTGTCATTTGGGATCCAGGGACATCGAACTGCATGTCAAAGGGAAGGAAATTTTCAAGGTAAAAGTTAAACTCCTCGAAACATCATTTCAACTTAGAGAAAGAGTGCGTTTTCCGTTTGGGGCGGATCTTTAATGCTGCACACTGGACGTGTGGCTACTATGCTATGTTGATTTGAGCCTTTTATGTCTCAGCGAAACAAAATGTATAAACGACACAAAACAAATGCGCCAAACTACAAAATAACGAGGCCCTAAGATGAACTAGATCAACATAAACAAAGACATTAACACAATATAGACAGTTCGTTCATATAGACAATAATAATAAACACCTGCCTGGGTCAAGTGTAGAACAAGTACTCTGTAGGTTTACTTAAATAGCAAAACTACATTGACACGTAAGAAGAAATACAAGAAGGTAAAAATCTAGTATTGTCATTTGGTCCATTCTGCACATTTTATTAGATTCCATCACTTTTATGCTAAAGCTGGTAATAGTGGGGATTATTTTATCTGTGCAACATGTACACTTGTGTTTTCGTTGATCATCTTTTAGTGTTTTTATTTTAAAGATTACATTTCTTCATCTCAATCAGCTCTGTCTTTAGCAGGTTAACGCACAAAAATATTCCTTCAAGGGAGAAAAAAAGAGAAAGTTCTACTCCTCTCGCTAATTCTTATTCAATCATACACTCATGACGTTTGACTCTAAAGTTGAACGCACATATTGACAAAGTGTTCTTTTCTCTTTACATTCTGTCAGGGAAAGTTGTTTGACACAACCATGTCCGACGAGGCTACATGGACACTAGGTATGTGGGCGCCTTCACGTAAAATCAGTTAACTTGAACGTACAAAAGTCACCCTTTTGTATCTCTCCTTTTGTCATTCTTAGAGGACAAGTGTCTCATCCGGATCATTCTGATGAAGACCAACAGAGAGGCAGGGAACTGCTGGTCCTCCCTGCTGGAGGGGGAGTACTGTGCCAATGCCTGGGTCCAGGACCAGATGCAGAGGAAGCTCACACTGGAGAGGTTCCAGCGGGAGGTTAGTTTAATGAAGTGCCGTCGGTGGTGTCCGTCGCCAAGACGTTATTACAAGTTGTCAGAGGCACTCTTGTCTCTGTCGCGGCCACATGAGGGAGAGCTGTTTAGCCATGTAGGTATCTCTATCTTAAATAGATGAGGACAACTAACTAATCCCCTCCATGAGTAGTTCTTAAATGATTCATTGGTCAGCCTTTTTTCCAGGCTGTTTAAATGCTGTTGGCTAGTTTCTGACCAGTGATAATTTTGATCTAGATAATACCCTGGATAAATGGATTTTTTAGATTTCTAACAAAACGTCTTTTAAATAATTAAATGCCAACATGGGTTTTGTTGATCCAATTGTCTCCTGTGGTTTTCCAAAAATAATTGTTCAAACAGTAACAAGTCAGAGGGAGATTTCTCAAATTGGAAACCAAAACGTTGACTAACGAGTTCCTTATTCAATGAAGCAATCCGTAAAAGTATTCTATTGACAATTAAAAACTTATTTTAAATGTTTGATACTGTAGCAAGAAATCCCATACAAATCCATACTCTGCATCATCTGGGTGGATTAGTCAAATAAAAGTTTGCATGCATGGTACGGTGATGTCTCCTGATCCTGATTTTGGGCTTTTTTTGCTAGAATCCTGGATTTGACTTCAGCGGTGCGGAGATATCGGGAAATTTTGCTGGCGGTGGTCCAGACTTTTCCAGTTTACAGAAGTGAGCAGTCTGGTGAAGCCAAACACCTGCAACCTGCTGGATACGCTACCTTTGTCTAACGAATACAACTGAGGACCTCACAGCGCCATCACAAAGAGTCACAAGACAGCGGACCAGACAGTGTAACTAGACTTTAAGGTTTAAAGATAACAGATTTCATCGGGGCAATTCGAGTTCTGTTTGGCAAGTCACAATGCTCATTACACAGGCAGAGCAATGGTTGATGGAAACAGTTGTAAAAAGCCTGTGTGTGACATGGTGGTTTTAAATAATGAGAAGAATGCAAAAGTAATAGCTTTTCAATAAAGTTTTATTGAAAGGTACAAGAACATAGATTAACGAGATGGTGTATTCAATCAGCCGATTTTAAATTTGGAAACACATTTTATTTTTGTCACTAAAAGAAACTTCTGCTAGACAGGGAATCCGACCAAAAAAAATGCAATACAAATTGCAATCCACATGTCCACTGCAACAAGCTATTTGTTTTTTTTTCATATTTGCTTCCTAATTGACAACTGAAATCAATTAATACATTTCAAGAATTGGTGAAAACAACTCATCTGTAACCACTGGCATTTTGGCTCAAACTGTGTGGTCAGCCATAATTGACGGGATAGTCAATAGCCTCACTTCGCTGGAGTAAACCAGCGCTCCCTCTCCGTAACAAAATAAAAATAAAAAATCATCACCTTGGGTAGGAGTGTGCAATCAGGACAGTTTAGCAACCTAGGGTGGGAGTTAAGGATTTTGGGCCCGATTTCTTGGTTCCATTTTTTGCAATTCACAAAATCCTTCTCCCTCCTCTTCCACATAGTGGACTGAGGACCTAGGTGGTTATATACTTAATAGCTTAAAACCAGCAACCCGTTCCAGGAAATACCAAACACCGTGGTACGGATTTAGCGCGATCATAGTGTACACTTGTGCAAGCCACATTTAACCAGGAAAGGACCACTTAGGATGGTGGTAGTTGGACCTTTCTGACGAAGCATTACTCCTCGTCGTTGGGGCAGAAGAGAGATAAATGTAAGATGGTAAACAAAGTTGAGTTAATCAGATTTTTTTTTTAAGCTTTTCCTTAAAGAAATCCATCATCACCGATGAAGATCTGTAAGGAAAGTAACAGGAGCTACATGTAAGGCCCCCGTTCGCACCCCCGTGGGTTAACAAGCAGACTCGGGTATGGTGGGAAGATGAGTGATCTTGTAGTAGCTGTGCTTCAGCTGCCGCGCGGTCCTTCCCGAAATAGTCCAGCGAAGCCTCTGGCTGTTTGGCTTGGAGCACCTGGCGGTGGCATATTCAGCCAGGCATTTCCCAACCAGCTCCCGCACACAGACCAGGTCCCCGTCTCTGAACTGCAACACCATCGGGAGAAAAAGCAGGCGGGAGATTGAGCCCCTTCATTTCCGCTTGTCTTAACGTCGAGCTATCGTTGGGTTCTAACCAGCTAACGCGAGACAAAAAAGGTCGGCACTTACGTTCAGCTGCCGCTGCAGACCTTTCAGGGCCTCTGATATTTCGTCAACGTGCTCAGGGTCGTGTTGCTCCTGGGCCTCGTAACACAGCAGCGCCATTGCGAGCAGAGATGGCTGCAAAGGAACAGATTATAGGTCTTTCATTGCAATTACACTTTGAACAGTTAATAGATTTGTCTACGAAGACTGGCAGAGAAAACATTTTTAAAATGAATATTTACCAAACAGACAAATAACAGATTTTGCCCTACCTTTATTTTGGAAAAGACAAATGAGCAATGACACGCTTTCAGTTGAGCTTCCAGTCTTTCAAGGCTCAGTATCTTCTTGCTGTGAAACAGAAATGGCTTTTAGTGTCAAGACAACAATTTATGTGGGAGGTAGCGCTCACGAGATTAGACATCAATCTGTCTGGGAAAAGATTTTTCTAAATTTAAATATTAACATCTCACTGACGTCTATAAATCCACATGATTTTAGTCGGACAATTTGGGTTTCTTTATTATTCTCCTTAAAGCCAAATATGAGCAGACACGTTTTAGTGGAGTAAATATAGTTGTGTTGAGTCACGGTTCGGCCCTGCAGGTCCGCCTGTCCTTACCTCTCAGTGTCCAGCTGCTTCTGGATGTGGCTGTGAAAGAGGCGGAGAAAGCGGAGGGCTGTGGGGGCCTTCACCTTCCAGTAGAGCTTCTCCATGATGATCTTCTCCATCCTCATCATGTCCGACACCGTAAAGCGATTCTGACTGATGCGGATGAGTTCGTTGGCTAGAGGCACGTTCTTCTCCTCCTCTGCAGACTTCACGGCAATGTAGAAGCAGCTTAGACCCACACAGGACAGGTGCTTCGGTTGAATCTGGGGAGGACAGGTAAAGGAATTTAGAATATAAACACAACCTCTGCCATTTCTAAATGGCCAGCAAAATGTTCTTTTCAGGAATCAATGCTTTCCGAACCGTCATCAAGGAGAGGAATCGGTCCAACAAGCTGATGGCCAGTGAGAATGTCTCGGAGCTAAAACCAAAGAACCTGGTCAGAGAGAGCAGGTCCTTCACTTCCAGCTCCCTCAGTCTGGTGGTCATCCTGAGACCATTGTCCTGGGAGATCTCGATTAACCTCAAGCCGCTCATCTTCGGTTGGTATCGGCCCTCCAGATCAGTCAGGGCCTTCAGCTGCACTCCGAAGGGCTGTGCTCCGGGTCCTGTCACTGCGTCGATCATCTGCGCAGAGGGGGAAGCAGAGCCGAGTCATTTGGACTGAATCAGACTAAAAGCTCACAGTCTCAAAACTAGAGAAATGTGTGAAACCACAGGTAGTTATATCTTTAAGAGGCAATCTATGTATATGTAATATATGCAAATATAATATATCTAAATATAACACATACATACAGTCCCCGTTGGTAACAATATGCTGTGGATACCACAGCCAAGCACGTAGACAGACTGGTGTCACTCCGCTCCAACATTTAAATAACTCAATTTGCATTCATGAACAAAGTCCAAAGACCTCACACCAGACAGACTATCCAACCTTTTCTGATACCAACAAAGTGACAACTATTTCATGCAATTCATACGGCTTTACTTCAACCAGAAATGCAGAAACACTTGTGTATTAAATACCAAATCTGCATTAGGGCCAGGTGTTTGTGGAGGTCAACCCCTCTGAGAGTGTTGGAAGTGCGCGAGTTATCCACGAGCAGCTGTCCCCAAACTGGCCTGAACTGGAAGAGGCCTGGGCCGGCGGTGACATACGGCACGGACACCCCCGAGGACCAGCGCCGTGGCTGACAAGTTTCCTCACGAGTCTGGTCATCAAGGGGGCAACGCAACTTTATGATGAGAATCGCTCGTGTCTGATAGTTGGGGCGCGTGATTTGGGCCGTAACGTCCACGGGACCGCGCGCGTAACAAAGCAGGGTCGGCGACATGTCGGGACATGCCTCTGCCGCACACACTCACCGGCAGATAAGCTAACCCGATGACAACCAAAACCCCCCAAGTGAGAGAACTTGGATTAAGCCAGTAAACTGTGTGTCTAACTTTAATACGCGTTGACTCAGTTTAACGTTGTTCTCCATGACGGCGAAGAGGAATCTACTAAATCATTCGACGTTAGCGGCGTGACGTTAACCGTTAGCTACGGCTAACGCTAACATGTTTTGTTTGGTCATAGCGTGAGTTTATATCTTTGAACTGCCATAATAAGGACGTATTTTAAGCATTGATGGACCCAATCCCACGTTACATATATACACACACATTAGGTAACGTTAAGTAAACACAATATAGAAGGGAGGTTGGTTAACTTACCTTGGGTGAAGTTGCCTTTAATGTTACTAATATAATTCAGGGGTGGAAAAAATGCCTCAACGAGATTTTAATGTGCGAGTGGAAAGAAATTTAAAACACAAAAAAGAGTGAGTATGAACTTTCACTAAAGAAAGTTTTAAGCAGACGTTATTTTCTGCCTATGCACACCCCCCTACCCTTGGAGTTAGGCGATGGTGAAAGGACAGTAGGATATCGACGCAAGAATAAAGCCAGACCCACGATCCGACACGACGAGCATTCATTGGTCATCGACAGGTGACGTTCATGAGTTACATTTCAATTGGATATATTTCCAGCCTGGCACAAATAAGCCCCGCCCTATACACGATTTTGGCCAATTGCAGATAAGAAGGCGGGACATGACCGAGAAATGCGAACAGTGTCTGATGATACAATATAACGGGAGAGGGGAATACGAGAAAACAGCAATATTTTGGGGGAATGTTTCAGGGAAACTAAAGGAGGATTTCTTCAAAGTTCATGTATTGTTGTTTGTTATAAAAGCCAGGCATTATCACACCATACGGGCTTGCTGGAAGGTTTTCAAAGGGTGCTTACTAGATAGTTTCTAGAACAGTCTGGAGGGACCGTGAACCTGCTGAGACGACACCTTACCTTCCAACAGCTGTTGACCCATTTGTATCTTACAGTACAGTTATGGAAAGATGGAGGCACGTTTTCAAAGGTCTTTATTACACTAGGATGTACAAATCTGCAAGTGGTCCCACACAAACCCACCATATAGATCTAATGACAAAGACATTTAATCCTGAATATGTGAGGGAGATGGATGGAGATATAATATATATATAGCTCCATCCATGAATAATATACTTATACATAGATATTTCTGACAACATTAGGGTTGACATGTTTGCATGATAGGACACCATTTAGAATTATTAAATATGAAAGGTAATATTTGTACCATGACAGATTTAAAGTGCTTATAAATCATAATATATGTAATCCATAAAAAACATTTAACAGCAATATGTCATTTTGAATATTTATGTCACAGTGTAAATTTTCATCAGTCAAAAACTACAAGCATAATATGGCGGATAAATTAAGGGAGCACATTTAGTACAAAAACTGAGATTTTGGCAATGATTTTAAATACTTTTAGGGTTGAAGATAAGGAGTCATGCAGAGACTGTGCTACACTGCTAAGACGCTTGAAGGGGAGGTTAGTAGACATGGAAGTCTTCAGGCAAAATAACCTCCAGTGATGTTAAGTGCATTTCTATAAAATTGTTATTTCAAATTGTAAAAATAATACACTTGATGCTAATCTGGGATCTTTCGATGTTGTAGAAAGTCTTTAATTCATATTCCTTCCTGAGGTTAAGGAGCACGCAGATGGAAGACTAAAGAAGCTATGAAAAGGAAAGAAAAACCATGTTATATATCCAAACAAACAGCTCTATTCATTTAAAGGCATTAGGCAAGATGAGAAATAATAAAGTTTAGTGAAAATGGTAATCAGTCTTGATGAGCATTTAGTTATTTGCTTGCATTGAGGGCAAATTACAACCTAAACGTGATTTAGATGGAGGCGCTGTTCTTGAAACACAACCAAATTTTACTATCTCATAACAAGTACTTGTGAAATATGAAAAAAAACGTGATGGGGAGAGGTTAAGATGAACGGTTCAGCCGACCAACACGTGAACTGATGCGGTGTTTGGTTTCCCAGTGACATTATTGATTTGGATATAAGTAATGGTAATTTATAAGCTCATTTTTAGACTCACTGTAAAAAATAATTTCGTTATTTTCTTTATAACTTTGTAAAGTGTGGTGTTAGACAATTCACTCATCTTACCACTGCTTGCTATCTCAAACTAACAATAAAATACTTTGAAAAAGTATCAATAATCATATGTTCATTAGTAGAAAATCAGAGCTAAAACCCCACTGGAGACCATTCAACTTGCAAATAATTGCACATGTAAAACATAACTCATCGTCATCTCTTTAAATCAGTCGCTAACTAAAAGTGTCTATAACAGGACATGGACACACATTCATGGCTAGGACATCAAACAACACAAGCTACATGTTATGAAAACAGTCCGTGGACTGTGTCTCCAGCAGGCTGCATAAGGGACTAACTAAAAACACGAGTTGAGCTACCGTTTTGATCCATTAATAGGCCGCGGCTTAAAGCCATCACATACTTCAGGCTGACATACGAGTAACTGTGAATGGTCCACACATACAGTGTGAATAAGTAATGTCAAAGATGACATTACTTACTCACAACTCTCTCTCTCTTCCAATGTGATGGCAGACACATTCCTGGTTCCCTGGGTGTTTGATCCATAAATCAACTGAAAGGGGAAAAGAAATAAGACAGAACATGGGAAAAAGAAACAAAATGAAGGATGAATGAACGAAAATAATAAAGAATGAAATGGGTATGCAACAGAATTTTGGTGGGAACTTTTTTTAACATTCACTTTTTTCCCCTATCGACATTTTAGGGCATGTTAAGAGTCCGGTCCAGTTTTTGACATATTACCATCAGATTCTCTCTAAAGGTCATATCCAACAAAACACAGGACATTGACCCAACTCTAGAGCTCTAACTCTAAACCTTTGAATAAACTATCCTCTCTTTTTTATTAATTTGTTTCTATCCTAATAATCATTAAGACAGCTTTGTGATTACGTATTTTGAGCACATGTAATTGACATATAACGTAACATCTGTGTGGGAGTCTAAGTATCACCGGGGCTGTGCATGGTGTGAGCATCGTCCCATGTAAATAGCAGAGCTGTGCCTGAGCATCAGCCTGTGTATTGCGCGCTGTGAGCCTCTGCGCTATGTCTGGGCACACAGTGTCTGTCTGAATCTGTCCCTGTATCGGTTTCTGAGCCACTGTGGCTTCTGGGAAAACAACACTATCTCATTAATCGCATGGAACACCTCCCCCCTCTGTCCCATCTACTCTACACAGAATAAATGCCCGAGACTCGTCAATGTTTAGTGTTACTATTTTGAGGTTTTACCGCATGCTCTCACCACAATGGTGCAGCACAGAAAATCAAATGCACAGAAAATTTGACTTACTTCTTCTTGTCCTTGTCCTTCTTGAATGGTGTTTGTGAGCAGCCTTGAAGAGCCTGCCCCATCAGCGTCTCAGCTGCGACCCTTCTCCTATTGAAGGCGTTCATTTCCTCTTCCAGTTCTCGTCTCTTCTCCTCCAGATTCTTCTTTTCTTCCTGGTGCATCCGCTTGAGCTGCTCAAACCTCTCATGAAGCTAAAGGACATGATGATGATGGGATGAGACGGGGCACAATGTGAGACGGACCAAATGGGTTATACTTTGAATGAGTGGTTATTTTACGTTTATGTCAAACCTCTTTTTCCTTTTCTTTCAGCTCAGCCTCGGTCTCCTTCACTTTGCTGACAAACATTTGTCTCATTTCTTCCTCTTTGTGCTGCAGATCCACAAGGAACTCCTTCCTCTTGGCTTCGTATGTGTCCTGAAGGCTAAAGAATTAGAGTAAAAGCAATGTTAAGATCGGTTTAATTAGTTATTGGACAGGATTAGTCCACAAGCTAGTGGCTCCAGCCATATCTGGACAGTATGCTTATGTAATACCCATATTTCCAACTGAGTTTCAACCGGGTTTAAAAACTCCAGCTGAGGTAAAACTACTGATCAGATGACATTTAATGAACATAGGAACTTGCCTATATTTGGAAGATGAGAGGGGCTAATCTGCGGATGAATTCACAAAGGCACTTAAAAAAGTTCAGACGAGTAAAAAATATTACCAAATACAATCAATTATTCACTAATAGTTAAATAATTCAACTAGAGGCTAAATTGGCGCATAATGCTCCACACTTTTCCTTCAAGCTGAAACTGCTTGATAAAAATGCAAATGAGGTAAACTGTCCAGATGCATTACATCACTGCTGCCCCTAGTTTCACCTGAACGACTGGCTGTCTGGGTCCGTGTCCTTGAAGCCCATCTCTTCTAGCTTGCAGCGACGGTAGAGCTCATAGTGCCGAGCGTGCGTTTGCTCCCGGAGATCCTCCATGTTCACACGCAGTAGCATCTCCCTTAGCTTCACAAAGTCACAATGGCTTTCATTCTCCACTGGAAAAAAAAAGAAAAAAAGAGGTAAGCTAATTTTGCACTCACTGAAAATTTGAAATTTAAACTCATAAAAACTGAAAATCGTGATTATGTTTATTCCTCGATAATTCAGTTAACACCTTTATGCTTGTAGGATCAATTCAACCAACTCACCCTGTACGGATCCCCAGGGGTACAGCCTTGCTTTCACCATCTTATTTCCCACTTTAACCTCGTCCAAACTCCCAACCACAGCAAACGGAAGATGAGTCTGTAATGTAAAGTGACGACATTGTAACAAAACGTTTTAAATGGCCCTATTGTTGTTATGTCGGGGGTGTAATTCTGCTATGAAGTGCTTCTAAATGGATTGAAATTGAAATTGTGGCTTACATTGTTACCACAAGATGGGTGTATGTGTTGGGTGTTTCTAGGACTCACGTTCATGGAAGTGTTTATCTCTGCGACAGCTTCATCCTCTGTGGGGAACTGATAGATCTGTACTCCATTACTGACCAGCTCGCTCATAATCTTAATCTTCAATTTGTCCAGTTCGCTCTTGGAAACCGTGTCTGCCTTTGCAATAACTGGGATGATGTTCACCTGCGTAAAAAATCCTAGTGAGACCGAGGAACAAGTCGATTGCTGAAAAAGACGGTAGACAGATTGTGTGTTCACCTTGCTGTCCAGTTTCTTCATCGTGACGAGGTCGAGAGACTTCAGGGAGTGTCCGGTGGGAGCGATGAAATACAGGCAGATGTGGATTCTTGTGTCATGGCAGTTAAATAATGAGCGTTTTATTCTTAGCTCCTCCTCAAGATAGCTCTCGAACTGGGCATCGATATACTCGAGAATGGGCTTATGGCTGCACAGAGAGACGGCACAAGACATAAAACATGAGCATTGTCATTTCACCCTTCTATGCATCTGCAACTCTATGTTGCTTTCAAGTTGTTTGAAGATATTTTAATATCTTGGCAACAAACTCTAAAACTACAGTCGAGAATGCCTGCTATTTCCACCCCCTGCTGTCGGAGCACTCAAATGTCTATTGAGATTGCATTAGTTCCAGCAGTCATTCCCACATTTCCTTTCTACGCACACAATTTTCATGCCAGAAACCGTCCGGATCTCTTTTACAAGTAGATACTGTAGAAGTGTGTTGGCTGCAGGACCAGGGCACGGGTGGAAAAAATGCTGGCTAGTGCTGAACTAACCAATAAAAATGTCTTAAGAATTTTTAAGATGAATATGAAACAGCACTGAAATCACATGTAAACGGTTTCCATATCATTTGAACAACATTGTATATTCTTTCCCCCATTGTGCAGGACAGTTAGATACATTTTTCTAAATCAGTTTCTCTCTCCGGAAAGCATTCAGTCTAACGTCAAATTAGCATCTCCATGAAGCTGTACCTCTCTCCTTTGTTGATCTGGTCTCCAAACCCCACAGTGTGCACAATGGTCAGCTTGAGGTTGACGTTGCTCTCCTGTAGATCATAGGTCTGTGGGCGTAGCTGTACCTCACTCTGATAGTGGCTGGCTTCCTCATTTTCAAATGTTGTATTGAAAAGAGTGTTCATTAATGTTGACTTGCCGATCCCGGTCTCACCTTCCATAAAAAGAAAATGGCACACAAGGAACAGTGATGAGGGAAAGAGTAGGTGACGCATTTCAGCTCCAATGTTACGTCCATTCGCTTTAGATCAGTGGTTCTCAACTGGTCTGGCTCCGGGACCCACCAGCACCCCTTAAGGACAAGCCGCGACCCAAATCGAGGAACATTCTCAACTTATCAAATGTATTTAATGAAAATATGGTGCAGTTTGAACCTGAGATAGTATGGAGACAGAATACGTATGCCAACACAAAAAAACGTTGAAAAATGAAAAAACAAAACAGCCAGCTGTTAATTGTAATTTTTATTTTCCCAGGCAAAGGCCCGCGACCCATTAAAAACGGGTCCGCGACCAGTTGAGAATTACTGCTTTAGATCATGGAGTCCTCCTAGGTTCAGACATACCTACGCAGAGGATGTTGAAGCAGAATCCCCGTGCAACCGATTTACTGACCAACTGGTCCGGAAGACTGTCAAACCCCACATGACCTCCGAGCTCCAGGATTCGCTTTTCTTCATGCTGAGGTATTAGGAGAAACAGGAAGGTCATAGATTGAAAGGTGAGATAACATGACATTTAATTTTAAATTGATCATATTCACAACAATTTATCAAATAAAATAGCAAGGTTAGAGAGCTCCTCCTTAGATCCCATCCCTAAATTCTGCCTTCAAGCTTAAGAGCATTCTTTGCAAATGAGGTCATCTCTTCCTTCCCCTTTACACACGCAATAGTCTGCCTATAAAGGCCTCAATATCACCAACCAAATTCCTCTTTTGGAGACAGGCTAATCTGAAAACAAAGAGCAATGAGAATCATACGAGTTGTGCAGCACTGATGTCTTTCTTTACATTGTGCGCCTGTTTATGAAGCTTGTATAAAGCGCTTAACAGAAGTTGAAAGCTGTCGACAGCAATGGTCTGTGATTTCATTCATCGGTGAAACTTATTACAAATATTTGCATTATTCATTAGTTTGCTGATTAATAGAGATATAATGGATACATTGTAAAATAATAGCCCAAAAACGCTCCCAGAGCTCTGAGCTTCCTCTTAAAATGGTTTTGTTTATAGAATTGAATGAGAAAACGTGTCCTAACTTTTGACTGGTACTGTACATATATTTGAAAATTATTAAAGACTGAATGGATTAACAATTCACAGCAGCACTTTTGTATTATGTTTGAAGAATGGAATCAAGCTTATAAATAACTAAACTGCATACGTGTAACACTATAAATGCATTGAGGCATTTGAATCTGATCATGACAAAAACAATACAAACTGCTGCCCCGGCCCTAAGCTGAGGGGTGTTTGATCTCTCCCATGCCAGATACATCCTGATTTACTGGCATCTTGCAAAAGGCTCAACATGAGGATCGGGATGTGTTCAGCACAACAATCATCCATTTCTGTCCCTCTTTCTTCACACACAGGCACGCACACACACATACACACACGCGCACAAACACACACATTCACTAATGCACAAAGAGCTCTTTATCTAGATGCTTGGGATTTGGAGAATATCCAGGCTGCTGGTACCCATAACTCCCCTTCACACACCACCTCAACTTCACAATGTCTTCATCATCATTTGCAACCTGTGCACGTGGAGCCCTGACGCAATGCACGTGTACTGTCAGATACGATGGCTTTTTAGCAAACACTGATGCATCATTTGGAGGACGTAGCTGCCCCTTCAGGTCGCTGACTACGCGTGTTCATCCTCTTAACTCGGCGCCTCGCTGCCTGCTGTCCCGCGTCTCGGCGAGCCGCCCGTTCAGCACCTGCGTGCACCTGTCACTGCGTTGCCGTGCTACAATGGGCGTCGTATTGCCGTAATGCCGCACAGTCGGACGCCGAAGTGCGCTTTTTTTCGGCAAGACTGCGCGGCTCTCACGCATCTTCCGTACGGCATCGAACCGCAGCTGAACCGACCCGCCTTAACGCACGTCACGCCTTGGATGCTATGCGAGCCGCTGGCCCCGCCGCGGAGGATCGTACTCACCGCGAACACGTCTACATCGTCGGCCGCCATCGTGAGAAGGGGCTGCGTGCGGGACGGAGGAGCGATCGGCGGGACTCTGCTCTCCTCACGCAGCGCGCAGAATCGCTGCTGCTTCCAATATGGCCACTCGGAGGCAACACCCCCTCGCTGCTGGAGGGCGACGCCGCAGCGGCCAGAGCGGTCCGCCTTTATTCGGATTTACTGCGACGGATTAGAGCGAGGAGACGTTATCACCGCCGTCGCATACTGGCCGATTATCTACATTATTAGTTCATTTCTATTGTGACTTTTCTCAGGTGGGAAGGTTAAATGACGAGCCACGTGTACACGCGTATTAGATAAATAGCAGCTCTCCATCCCGTGACGGGCTTGGACACCAGCCGTCTCCTGGCAACGTTAAGCCGATGATGTAGCTCCGGCTTCGCTGTGGTGGGAATTAACTCTACTCGTGATGTTGGGCTCTTACATCCCAGTGGAAGATAAACCCTGTTACACTACATGCATATGGAAATCACTAACGGCTTTTGAATAAAGCGATTGTACTACTTAACTTTAAATGTTCAGATGGTCGGTGCGGTGTTGTTTGAATGATGATAAATACGCATTTATATAAAGCAACCTGTTACCATTCAATATCTATTTTAGCATATTTGCTCCATTTAATAACTACTGTACTATTTTTATGGTTTCCAGAAACATTCTTATTACTTGATAGTACGTTTTTCATTGCCGTGTTAGCATATATATTTTCTTCTATCGCCTATTCATACTTAGAATTGGCTAAATGTTTTTTTTTTTAATTTTGTGTTTCTTTGAGGGGTTTTTTAAGCTGTATCTGTATTACTGTGTAAGTAAATTGACAGCATACAGTACGTTTAACTCCTGACATGTTGTATTCACCCAATGGAGCTGATTCTGGTTATTATCTAATGTAACAAGGAATTCAAAATGAATGCTTACTGTACACATTTATCTGTGTAAAATACAATAGAATAACGTGAAACACTACTCGTGAGGCTAAGTGACGAGATGAAAATAACGTGGTCATAAGTATAACAGAAAATGAAAAATGCTCAGTTAAAACTATAAACTACTGTACTATTTTTATCGTTTACATTCACTTTTACAATGGCCATATTTTAATCATGTAAATGCACGATACATATAAAAACAAATTAGTGTCTTCATATCGGCTATGATATTGATCCACTTTTCAAGCCGCTGGCGAGGAAGCGCCGGAAGCTGCAGGAGGACAACGGAAAGATCCCCCGCCCCCCCCCCCCCCCCCCTCCGGGATTATCCAAAAAATCGGTTACACGGTCGCATGTGCGGACTGCTTTCCGGACATAAAAACAAAAAAGGAGAAGACAAAATGTCTTTGACCCAAGAATCTCTTTTGTCTTTTTTGCTGGAGCGCGAAGGCAAAGTGAGGAACTCGGAGCTGGTGAACCACTTCAGGAGACAAATCCACGGCGGCGATCCGGCGGAGAAGCAGCACAATAGGGAGCTCTTCAAGAAGTTGGTGAACAGCGTCGCGGTGGTGAAACAGATCGACGGGGTAAAGTTCGTGGTCGCGAAGAAGAGATACCAGGATTTTGTGAAGGAAGCGGCGCGGGATGGCGCGCAGGGAACGCGGATGGACGACAGTCCCCCGACCGGTTCCCCGGTCCCTCGACCCGGACCGGATTCCACCCCCGTCAAAGTCACGAATATCCCCGCAGTTCAGACGATCAGAGCGAGGACATCCGGAGCCGTGTTCGCTGTGGTAGCGGTCAAATTCCCCGCGCGGGACGCTGCGCCAGGTCCGCAGATCGGGTCACGTCCCAGAGGGCGTCCGGATCTCTGGACAGACGAACCAATCGCGTCGGTGACCGACGTTTCAACACCATCAGTGCAGACTCGCGACCCCGACCCCCCAGCGTGCAATAAGGGGTCCCTGAGTGACCCTCGGTGTTGGAAAAACCCAATGACAGACACGCAAACCCCAGGTTTCCCCCTGGTGAGGCCCCCAAACAGGAGAGAGGAGGCAAAGGACTCGGAGTCTGTGCCTCTGGAGCCATTAGCTCACGAGTGGTTGGTAAAGTGTGCTGCCGGACTGTGGGGGCAGATGTATGGTCTGCTGCTGCAGGACACTCGGTTGGCACAGAAGAAAGACTTCATGTCGGGCTTCACGGCGCTGCACTGGGCAGCAAAGAACGGCAACAGCGAGATGATCCACAGGCTGGTGGACACCCCGAGGAGAAGAGGCACTTATGTCGACATCAATAGCAAAGCACACGGAGGATACACACCGTTGCACATCGCGGCCATGCATGGGCACGGCGAGGTCGCGGCGCTGCTGGTGCAACGTTATGGGGCAAATGTGAATGAAAGAGATCATGACGGCAAGAAGGCCTCCCATTACCTCGGCGACGCTGTGTCAGCGGAGGTCAGAGCACTCATGGGAGGACTTCAGCCGAGCGAGTACAGGGAGAAGACGGAATACGATGAGCACACGAAGGGCTTCAACACAATTAGTAAACTGTTCCAGCCCCACAAGAAACAAAAAACAACAACAAAATGTGCTCATGACGGGTGAGAATTACGTCAACGACAAAAGAAGCTTTGATGTGGACAATATTAAAATGTGGGCATTTGGTTGAATGCACTTATTGTACGTCGCTTTGGATAAAAGCGTCAGCTAAATGACATGTAATGTAATGTAATGTAATGTAATGGGCAGACAAAACTGTCTTAGTTTGTGTATTTCAATAATATTAGAAAAAGGCAAACCATTGTTTATCTTTGCACCTCTCTTCTACTGCTTCTTGTGCTATTGATGAATGTTGTTTGAAATCTAATTTCTTCTCTTTCGTTAGTTGTTTTATGCATTAACAATTAATGTTATTTTGAACTAATTTAATTTATTTTTCTGAGCAATAACAGTGTGATATTCACACATATCTTACCAGATGTGTAATAAATCTTAGACTTTACCTTTTGAAACTGAAGTGTGATAAAATAGGAAAACAGACCCCCCATGCGCACAGCATATGATGCAAGTTCTTGGCAAAGATACAAAGTAAATATCGGATACTTTTGTAGAAAGAAAAAGTGGTAATATTTTGAAAAAGCAACAGTACCTCTAAACTTAAGTAAAAGCAAAGACCTTTGGCGACCAGTCTGGGTGGTGCAATGTCTCTTTTATCATCCTCTTTGAGAACTGAGGGCTGTAATGGACGGGAAAGGCCTCCCTTTGTAGGACAACATGGGTTTCGCTCTACTGAATGACATGCTAATCGGGTAAAAACAAAAAAAAGGATCTAAATAGGTCATTATGAGCTATACCCTACATACCATTTTGTAATCAATCATTGAAGTAGATATGATTTCTTAGTTTGTTATATGATTGACCATGAACTGCAAAACAATTATAATTTAAAAAGATACAATTTTAGTTGGGGTTTTTTAAGTTGGGAAAGAACCAAACTTTAAGGAGAAGACTATGAACCCCTTTAAAAAAGATCTTAACCGGTCAAGCAGACATTGAGGAATGAATGGCCTTTTTTCAGATGAAAGAAAAAACGTCCTAGATGAGATGAAAGCTGTTGAAGCTCAGACAATGAAGCCATAAGCAAAACGGTGCCAGAACAATGTCCTTTGTCTTGTTATGTGGACGCTGCTTGCATAATGATTCCCACAGAGGACAGTTGCACGCACACCGACAATTCAACAAAGTAGACTGCATTGTGTGCAATCCCAACACAAAAACTTTGCGAAGTAACTAAAATATCATGTGTGGTTACAATCCTCCTTCACACAAAAAATTCCAGTTTTAAAAACTGTCCAACAATACTGTGAAGGGGGCCAGCTCTGTATCATTTCCTGTCAGTAAAAAATGGAAAACACCCTTTTTTTACAACCTTGCAAGAATTTTGGCCTAATAATTTAAACCTTCCATCCATCCATTGTCAAACCGCTTATCCTGCACACAGGGTCGCGGGGGGGCTGGAGTCTATCCCAGCCAACTTCGGGCGAGAGACGGGGTACACCCTGGACTGGTCGCCAGCCAATCACAGGGCTACACAGAGACAACATACAAAGAATTGAAACGACTTTGTGGGGTTGGACAGACTGAAAAAGGGTGAGTGTAATGTCTGCCCTCTGGTGGTCAGCAACTTTACAGTAGTTAGGCTTCTGTCATTTTCAGGAATAAACATTGTTGAGTAGTTATTTTCTATAAAATGAGTTAATTATGTAACATTACCTGCAAAACTAAAAATAATATACCATTAGCGATGCAAAAGTCTATTCCTTAGACTGTAAGTTCACGTTAATAATTGGAAAATATCATTGTTACATACAAACGTTAAAACAACAGCAACATTAGTTGATAGCTTTGGCTAAAGCTAGTTAGTGTGAAATGTTAACATCAGGTTTTACAGGTTTTCATTTTCAAATGAGTTAACATGTAATAAATCCACAATAGCATATTATTCAGCGTCTCATGAAAGGGTTACAAATACTCAAATAATGCTAACGTATACATAGTTTAACTAAATAAATAAAAGAGTAGAACTATAAACTGTAATAGCAAATTATAAAAAATAACTATATATCAGTAATGGTCAGTTTAGCTATTGAAATAGCATTGCGTTAGTTTTAACTGTAACTGAATTTGGATGCTAACTAGCGGTTAGCAACTAAGCCAGCTAGCTAACTAGCTTAGCTACTCTCAAAAATGTAACCCTCAAAAACTCACCAATGTTATTCTTCTGATACACCCAACGGTCAGTTGATATTTCAAAACGTTATCTCCAAAATCTATAAAGGTTTCCTTTTTCCTTTGGGTTAAATATTAGGGGACAATAATACAACGCTAACTAAAGTTGACTTTAAGGTAGCTAAAATTGAGTTAGCCTCCGATGAAAAAGCAGTGTCAGTATTCAAAATATCAGCGGACAGTCGGTCTCTTAAAAGTTATATTTTTAAAGGCTATTTGATCTTGTGTGTATCTATGCTTGGGAGAAAATATTTTTTTTAAATAACTTTTTGTAGTTTTGCTTTCAAAATCTTATTTGTAATCATATTATTTTGAGTTTTGCACTAATGTAAAACTCGAAATAATAATCAAGCCACTACTTAACGCTTTTTAAAAAAAAACCTTGCTGAATGTAATATCCAGCCTGAATTTGAAGTTACAAAATCCGTGTCTTTACCTGAGAAAGTCGAGAGATAGCCTTGATTGCAAACAGCTGCGCAGCACCACGTGCCTCGGGTCCTGTTTACCTCGAGTTCTCAGACGAGAGACTCTTTGCCTGGTGTCGTTATTTACCATGAAACAACCAATGCGAATGTCGGCGGTACTTCGTTTTTCTCGCACGATTTTCTTCCTGCTGCTGGTCACCTGCAGCTGCCCGCTGGCCAGAGCTTCTCTGGCTGCCTCTAATGCGCTGCGCCACCTGGGCGACTTCTCCTACCCGTACGGCAGCATCTTCTCCCCGCTGCTGAAGGCCCTGGCGGAGCACGGAGGGTCCAGGTGGAACCCCGAGCTGAAGAGAAGGATGAAACCCGAGCACAAGTACATGAAATATCTGACGGAGGTTTACAAGAAGTCCTCCAGGGTGCAGAGGAGTTTGGACGGGGATACAATCTACAACACCGTCCGGCTCATTAAGCCGCAAGATGAATGTCTGGCAGAAAGTGATAAAGGTGAGCAACTTGACCTCACACACTTTGTGATGCTACAGTGCCGAGGCCTGAGAGAGTTCTTTGTTTCATGGACTAATATTTTATTTGGCTATTTTGTGCCGTATGGACAAATATTTCTAATCTGTGTTTGTGGAGATTTAGTTAAGGTACTACTAGTGATGACTACTGTTAATAAAAAGTGAAACGTGATTAAAATATATGACCTAAGAAGAATCATTTGGTTTTACATTATCTATTTAATGCAGTTTTTCTCTGTCAATTATGCTTTTGAGAAATGTCTCCAAACAGACTTATCTGCCTTATTTTTCTTTTTTTTTTTTTTTTTTACCTGTGGCACTTCTTTTAAAACATTCATTGTGTTGTAAAGGCATCAGTACAAGCTGAGCATGTTTACTCTGGATTGAAATTGAATATAATCGTGGCCGTTTGTTTGACTGACATGGAATGGTGCCTTCATGGTTTCTCATTCGCTTCTTCAGGGAACTTTATGCAGGATCTTTCCTACAGCGTTGATCAAGTAAGAGGAAAGGAACAGCTTCTGAAGTCCGCCCTGCTGTACAATTTTGACCACGCTGCACCTGTCAACTCCGTATGCTACCTGAGTCTTGGGGAGCAGGAGCATTCAAACCAGTGTCCGCTGTGTCCTGAGGTCCATCACGCTGTGAACTTCACTGTCGGCACAGACTCAAACAGCAGGAGGAACTGGGTGGAGGTCGACGTCACCTTGTTTCTCCGGCCTCTCTTGAAGTTTCAGAAGAATTTGCGCCTGCTCATCAACGTCACCTGTCCAGGGGAACAAAGAGCCAGTGGTGATTGGCGCAAAGCCCCACTGAAGTTCACCCTGAGGTCCCCTCTCCTACTTCTTTACCTCCATGACACCAGCAGAATTGCTCACCAGCAGTTTCCAGTCGATGCCAAAGCGGGCCGAAGGCCAGATGCTGTGGCCAACGCATATAACGAGCAGATGGTCCTCAAACAAGAGCAGAGCGTGGGGCGAAAGCGGAGATGGAAGAGGGAATCCCATAAGAGCAAGCTGGGCGATAAAGGTCTGGACATCCAGCTGCCGGAGCTTCTACCGAGCTCTGAATTTCAGACAAGCGACTGTGCCTTGTATGATTTCAGGGTGCGATTCAGCCAGCTCAAACTGGATCACTGGATTGTTTTCCCACCAAAGTACAACCCGAGGTACTGCAGAGGCATCTGCCCGAGGACCATAGGCTTCTTCTACGGCTCACCTATGCACACCATGGTGCAAAACATCATCTATGAGAAACTGGACTCGTCTGTGCCCAGGCCCTCGTGCATTCCCTCCCATTACAGCCCCCTGAGTGTCATGATCTTTGAAGAGGACGGCTCCTATGTCTACAAGGAGTTTGAAGACATGGTGGCCACCAGATGCACATGTCGCTAAGCCAGCCACCGACAAGTCCGGGCTTTTCTTTCTTCCTTCCTTCCTTCCTTCCTTTTTTTTTCTTTACAGGCTGAATAGAACATCACCACAAACCTCAACAGTCATCACAGGTGGACTCTATCCAAATTTTGGATAGTCTGAACAGGATCAGTGATTCCATGATTTTTATAAAATTGTTGTGGATGAAGTTTGATCTGGAGCAGGTGTGGTTAATCATGTTTGTTAACTTAAACAAAAAGTATTTTATCCTCGTGAAAATGTGTTTTTTTTCGGTTTTGTTAAGGTGTGAGAAAGAAAGGATGTGAACGCATCCTATTCTTTGACTTACTGCACATAATATTTAATATGACGCACTTGAAGAAAAATTAGTGTATGATTTTGTTTCTATTTATTTAAGTTCTATTTTTGTTATTTTTATGTTGCTGGTCATTCTTTAATTTATCACATTAACTAAGTTTTAGTAGCCCTGTTCTTGTCAAAAGATGGAAAAAAGCATTCACAAACCCTTATAAAACCTTTTACATATCATTTTATTCTCGGGGATTTAGAGACAACTGTCTAAATGGCAGCTGACTACATAATGTCCAGAATGACAGTTGTCAAGGGTTCCGTGTGTATTTATTACTTGTGGTCACTGCGTGACTCAATATGTATGAATTTAGCACATACCTATGAAATTGTACGGTTGAATGTGAAATGAATATCATGTATATTTATGCAAATTGAATGAATTCACTGGGGAAAAAAATACTCGTCTGAGAAGTTTGAAAATAAAATAACATGCATAAATGTTGTCTGCATACAGCTGTCTGTAAATATTTGTTGAAAATGGGGTAAATAATTATGCACTAAGTGAAAAGACCGATTTAGATTCTTGCAGAGGAGAGTAAACTGGGACATTTATTGACTCTAAATTGTCCTGCAGATGAATATGTATTCTTCTATGCATCGTATCTATGTGAAGCCTCAACCCCCTCACGCTTTTAACCCCGATATCAATCTCCGGTTGCGGAGATATTTAATGGTAGCCTGTAATGACTGGCCAGGAACCAGAACCACTGCAGACCAAACTGGTTGATTGATGAAACGTAACGACGCTCCAGTGCACCAGGGGGCGATGACGTCCGCAGTGTAGCAACCAACCGGTGCCTGAATAAAAAGCGAAGGACACCGGAACTTCACCAGGAGATACTGTTTTGAAGCAGCACGGTAAGCTTAAATGTCACGGTGTCATTTGGCCTCTTTAAGCTTCTATTGCCATCTTTATGTGATATTTAGCTGGTTTATTGTAGTGGGAGTCCCCAAAGTTTTCTCTGTTCTTTCCGTGAAACTAATGCGTCAACGTGCCAATAAAGAAAACGTCTCAATGACCTTAGCAGCTAACGTTAGCTGGCGATGCTAACCTTTAGCTATCACCCTTAGCAGTAGATCATCCTGCGGTCTCTAAACCTAGTTTAACGTTTGATCAACTGTTTCTCAACCATATGGTCTTTCGTCCTTACTCTTGTAGTAATGTTACGAATTTACACCTAATTATGTGAACTGTCTGGAAGGTTCCATAATTAACGTCACTGACCAATCAAAGCTGATATGGAGCAATCGCATACACCTATAATCATATAGTATTGAGCAAGTAATGTAAGGAGAAGCATAAAGATATTTGAAAAGTTAAAGATAATTTAACCCCGTGTTAAATAAATTCGCTCGTGTCGTTGTAGCTGATTTAGCTGAAAACAGACGGACTATACAGTGAACCTAAGTTGTGTAGTCTGAAGTTGTTTATCGGGCCTATTTATAACCACAACAGGGTTGAATGTTAAGACTAGAAATAATTGTTCCTCATCCTATTAAAAAAAAAACAGCTGTGAGTGTGTCATGATACGTTTTCAAACTGATTCTAGATCATTTGTGTGTTCACATTATACTAATGTAAATTTAAAGCCCAAAAGACGTTGCCTGTAGGCCAAACATAATATAAGCACAGAATATTTCCATTAACTACAATGTTGAATTACCATGAGTAAATATCTTCTCATTTCAGCTCACCTCTCTGTAAACATGGGCCGCCACTTCGGAGACTTGGCCAAGATCCGCCACATAATCACATACAGTCTGTCGCCCTTTGAGCAGAGGGCTTTCCCCAACTACTTCTCCAAGGGAATCCCCAATGTGTGGAGACGGGTCACAGCCTCTTTCTTCAAAGTTGCCCCCCGTAAGTTTAAAAAAGAAATTATATCCAGTATATTCGTATTTTACATTCAGAGCCAGTAGTCCTACACTTCAGATTAATTTATTGAGATATGGGGACAGAATATAAATGTCAACAAGACAATAACCAAAAAAACTAAATGTTATAAAGAGCATGAGACTCTTGATAATAGTTGACGTTGATATTCAAATAAATGGCAAGAGAAAACCTTTTCGTTTTTGAACCATCTATAAAGTTATGATTACTACTAAACATGTCATACTGAAATGGGGTTGTATAGATAGCAAAAGTAATTCTGGTTTTCAGATAGGAGTGGATGTTATGAATACAACCCGTTGCAAGGATCTATGCAAGAATCCTGAACGTCATTACAAGTGACTGGGATCTGGGCCGCGGCCAAGTCACATGACTGTTACCTGTGTTGACCCCAGATCCTGCTGTGTGTTCCGGATAAGTCGCTGATTGTAAAAAGAGCAGACTGTGACGAGACTTGCAAATGACAAGGGCATGCACATAGTTACAGGCAGCATCTGTCTTTGCTGTTACTATTATACGTTTAATTCCAATATTTAAAAAAATAGTATTGTGTATATAATAAAAGTATTTTGTGTTTTGTATGAATCTGCTTGAAACTTCTGTTGTTGGTTGACTGACCATAGCAAAAATGGGTATTTGCAAAAAAAAGAATGCTGGTGTAGATAATGTGTAATGTCTGATTGAATTAGATTTTACAAATGTGGTTATTAATCATTGTTTTTTCAGGATCTCTATTTGTTATGTTATATTTAAGTTATGTCTGTATTAAGATTTCACTGACAGTTGTGGCTAACTTCAATAAAAAGATGCTCCTGGTGCTAATTTGTTTTAAATGATTTTGCCATTGCAGCAATGACCCTCATGTACCTGACATACACCTGGGGCAACAGTGTCCACGAGCAAGGCAAAAAGAAGAATCTTGCTGACTTTGAGAATGACGAATGAACTCCTGCTGCCTTTATGAAAACAACCCTCTGTTATTAATTCCAGCTGTATGTTTCACCAATAAAGATCAAAAATATTTATGTGAAAGTAGTCTCAATTGCTTCACTTCATCCATCTCTTTGTTTGCTGCAATCAATTTGTATTGATTTAATCACATGAATGCATATTTCCTTTTACACAGAACTAATAAACCCACATTTTTTTCATTCAAACAAAAATGCTTGTGCACGTTAGTTTGCATGATTTGCCTTTTCTCTGTCAATGTTTTTATTGATGGATTTTTGGATAGTGTGTGTGGGGGGGGGAGGCCACCGTGGAATCAGTGATCAGAATGAAGTTTTCTGACATTTTAAAGAAAGTAACATGACAGGGAATTTAGCGATACGGTCCAACTAAAAAGCTTGAAATGTTTTATTGTTGAGTCCTTTATTTGTCCTGCAGCAGTCAAATGTACAGGATCGCAGCAGCAAAGGGGTAAAGTGCACATGAGATATACTAAAAACAGTTACAAATAGCAGTAATAACAGACAAATGAAAGTAGCCCGGCCGTCCTGCACGGGGGCGGCAGGTGTTGTCCATTGGCGATGACGGCTTCGCCATTATCTTCCTGTATCCACAGGACAACCCGGCACATTGATCTAATGGCATTGATCTGCCATTGTAGTTCCTCGCCGCCAGGGGGCGCGTGACAGCGGTTTGTCGTGCTGCGCAGTCGCGTGCTATTGGTCGGTGGGACAGAGAAAATTCTTGAAGGCTCTCACCTCTCAGCCGGCGCACCGCATGCTGCTTGTCCAGCTTCATGGAACAAGAAAGAGGGTGCATCTCAGTCCGCTGACTCAAACCCACCGTAGCCTGCCGTCGTTTCTCAGCAGTGTCTTATATTTCCGGTCTTCCTTGTGCTTATTGTAGTCCGCGCGGTTCCGTTAGCTAGTGAAAATGTCGGTTGTCGGATTTGACGTCGGGTTCCTGAACTGCTATGTAGCGGTAGCCAGAGCCGGGGGGATTGAAACGGTCGCTAATGAATACAGCGACCGATGTACACCGTAAGTACAAGTCAATACGTTATTGTGTACGCTTTGTGTTGTATAACTGCCCCGAGACCGCAGGTACGGATGTGACATAATGCAATATTTTCTTTCATCATAATATGTCGTCTCGCTGCCTCCCTACGTAGGATGCTAGTTAGCTGGCTAACGGGTTTCGAAACAGGAAAAGGCATGTGAGTGCTAAAGCTAATGCTAGCTTAAACGGCCCCTATTGTTGGTTTAAAGAAACCATCAGACCACATCAAACGATGTATTCTGTTCTAGTGGCGTTTTATCAAATGGCCTCGAGATAATCTACATAAGTAACCTGCTCGGTCAGGTGCTGGTTTTATTTTCACTGGAGGCATGAATGAGCGCATGACGGGAGGAGGCCGTATCGCGCCTGTCAAACGGATTTTTCAAGCCATTGCACCATCGTTTTCCCACCAATGACCCGAGGAAGGAGGCAATAGAGATCTAGTTGCATTAATAATGTAAACCGTATTTATATTATTTCGTGTATTAGTCATTACAAGCAGGTGCCATTTTGTTCCGGGTTAAGCATATATAACGAAGCTGTATTGTTCTAAGAATATGATGTTGTTGAACAAGTATTGTGTTTTCTCTCTTTAGAGCATGCGTTTCCTTTGGACCCCGCAATCGAGCGATTGGTGCTGCGGCTAAAAGCCAGGTATGATTATATACAGCAGTAGATGTAACACTGGATATCTTATAATTAACCTGTGGAAGTAACCATAGCTTTGATAATGAGCATAAACAACTCCAGGCATGGATACTGCACACGTCCAAGTCAGCACCAGGAATGGATTCTATATTTTTAGGTGTGTATGTGTTTATTTGATCCAAAAGTTACTTTTCTGTTGTCCAACAGATCGTCACAAACTGCAAGAACACAGTGCAAGGGTTCAAGAGGCTTCATGGCAGGGCGTTTACGGATCCCTACGTGCAGCGCCTCAAAAACAGTTTGGTCTATGATATTGTACAAATGCCCACAGGAACAACTGGCATCAAGGTGAGGAGATTGATGGGCATTTACAGTTAAATTATGGGATTAGAAAAAACACACACGGTAAAGATAATACAACAAACACACACCGCATTATACACTTAATTCATATTTACATTGGATGCTGTTTTTTACAGTGACCTACAATACTTTTTTTCCACAATCTTTTGGGTATGGAAGCTCTAAGTTATTAGTATGTTTTTTTTTTTTTGTATGACTATAAAACTGAGTGATGGTTTTTAAAGGTCAACTACATGGAGGAGGAGAAGGTGTTCAGCGTTGAACAGGTTACCGCCATGCTGCTGACTAAGCTGAAGGAGACAGCGGAGCATGCGCTCAAGAAGCCTGTGGCAGACTGTGTTGTGTCTGTGAGTATTTCATATTAAGGCACCGATTTTGTATGCAGTTCTTTACCTTGATAAGTAGGGGGGGGGTGTGTGTGTAAGAAAAGATTAAACGTTCCACCCTCACATTTTGTTTTTACTTGTTTCCTCGTCACATTTGTTGTCAGTCCTCTCCACATCTACATTTCTAGATCAGTCTAAATCAAATACTTGCTGTACTCCATTGTGACCAGGTTCCCTGCTACTACACGGATGCTGAGAGGAGATCAGTAGTAGACGCTGCTCAGATCGCCGGTCTCAACTGCCTGAGGCTGATGAATGAGACGACTGCAGGTCTGTACATGTCCTTTTTGGGGGGGGGGGGGGCACGGGCAAGGTTGTGCATGTCAATGATTGTTAACATAATTGCCACATAATAATTGCAGCAGATGTCATTAATAATTGAACAATTTTCATTTCAGTTGCACTGGCATATGGGATCTACAAACAGGATCTCCCGGCTCCGGAGGAGAAGCCCAGAAATGTAGTGTTTGTGGACCTGGGCCATTCTGGATACCAGACATCAGTGTGCGCCTTTAATAAGGGCAAAGTCAAGGTGTGCAGCTGAAGCCACATACCAATCATTCATTAACATCCAGAGGCTTTGTCTTATGCATTCTACTCCCTCTTCTCCTTTTTGCCTCCCAGGTCCTTTCTACAGCTTGTGACCCCGAGCTGGGAGGAAAGGATTTTGATGAGATGTTGGTGAGGTACTTCTGTGAGGATTTTAGCAAGAAGTACAAGATTGATGTCAAGTCCAGGCCCAGGGCTCTGATCAGGGTTTACCAGGAGTGTGAAAAACTGAAAAGAGTGATGAGTGCAAACTCCTCTGACCTGCCGTTTAACATCGAGTGCTTAATGAATGACATTGACGTCTCTGGAAAGATGAACAGGTAGACAAGCAAGAACACATTTCTAGCTTTTAGTATCCATGGCTCCTAACTACCGTGTCTTATGTGGAATATACATTTTTTAATTGCAAGTTTACCTGTTCTGTTTCACAAGGGGTCAGTTTGAAGAGATGTGTGCTGATATTCTCGCCCGAATTGAGGCTCCACTGCAGAATCTGCTGGAACACGCTAGTGAGTATAATTTCCCCCAGTTGTTGTGCTTTCTTATTCAATCAGTTTTATAACTTGAATCCATGCATGTCTTGATCTGTGTGCTGACAATACTACATTTGTGTTCCAATAGAACTGAAAAGGGAAGATATCTATGCAGTAGAGATTGTGGGAGGAGCTTCCAGGATCCCAGCAGTCAAAGAGAGGATTAGCAAATTCTTTGGGAAGGAGCTGAACACCACCCTGAATGCTGACGAAGCTGTGGCCAGAGGATGTGCCCTGCAGGTATGTGACAGCTCTCCGAATGCTCAACAGAAATTGTCACAACACCCCCCTAAATACGTAACTATATGCATGCAAGAGATGTATTTTTTGTGTTTATTGATCCTGTGGTGCTTCTCCAGTGTGCAATCCTGTCACCTGCATTCAAAGTGCGTGAGTTCTCGATCACAGATGTTGTCACCTATCCCATCTCCTTGAAATGGCCTTCAGCTGCAGAAGAAGGTCTGAGGTAAAAAAACATTTAATAAACATTTTAATATCAACCATTATTTTTCCCTATCTGTCCCTTGTCTTGATTATTTAATGCTTAGATCTTTATGAAATATTATTTTTTTTCAGCGATTGTGAGGTGTTTCCTATGAACCACGCAGCACCTTTCTCCAAGGTGCTGACCTTCTACAGGAAGGAGCCCTTTTCCCTGGAGGCGTACTACAACAAGCCCAGTGAGCTGTGCTACCCCGATCCTACTATTGGTAAGCGGCCAGACCTTCCTAAGTGATATATTTATCTATATTTAAAAAAACTAGCCTCATCAGTCAGAAGCAAGGGAACCCTCACAACCATTGCATATATTCTCGGGCTGACCTTACTCGGATGACTTGCACCGATTGGAGTGAGCCTTTTGCTTTTAAATGGAATTAAATGTTTGTTAGTAAGCAAGGATCGCTAATTGCCAATACTGTTTTTCTTACAATGGCAGGCAATTTACAGACACTGACTTGGTGATAGACCGATCGGGCACATCTGCCTTAGATCCTTTTTACGTGGTAAATTTTCCGTAATACTTGTTAACTTTCCTACAGGTCAGTTCCTCATCCAGAAGGTTATCCCGCAGGCATCTGGTGAGAGCTCCAAGGTGAAAGTCAAGGTGCGGGTGAACATCCACGGTATCTTCAGTGTGTCCAGTGCCTCCCTGGTTGAAGTGCAGAAGTCTGATGAGACCGAGGAACCCATGGAAACGGAACACGCCAATGAGAAAGAGGGAGAGGTAACAATTCTTCTTTTACACCCAGCATCAGATTAGTATTTTAACTATTTGTTTTATTTTTGAGAAAAATCTCCCACATGACACGCTTTGAATGACTCCTGCAGAGCAAAATGCAGACCGATCAGGATGAGCAGCAGGGTCAGGCAGACGGTTCGAAAGAAGCAGAAGAAAAGACGCCCCGCGAGAATGAGGAGATGGATGTAAGATGCTCAGCTTTTGTCCTGTAAATGTTCTTTAGGAGAGGCAAGATATTCAACTTCTTATCCTCCTGAATGTTACTGGCATTAAGCATACTTAAAGCGATCGTATTACAATGCATCTAATTAGATCTGCAAAAAAAAAAAGAATTGACACTGTAAAGAGTGGATTCTTGAAACTCTACAGATGTTCCAATAAACAGCTGGGTCCAGACATGTCATGACTCATTTTAAACAACTATGCCTATTCTTCTACTCTTTTTAGACCACCACAGAGGAGGGCAAAGGCGAGAAGAAGTCCGACCAGCCCCCACAAGCCAAAAAGCCTAAAGTCAAAACAAAGGTTGTTGAGCTTCCGATTGAAAACAGTCCACAGTGGCAGCTGGCTGATGACATGCTCAATCTGTTTGTTGAAAATGAGGTGACTAAATCTTTCAGTTATCATGCATTGCAAAATTCTGCCGTCTTTAATTACTCAATCCATCTAGAAGTGTTTTGTGGTTATATTTGCTGTTTGGAATCTCTTCAGGGTAAGATGATCATGCAGGACAAGCTGGAGAAGGAGAGAAACGACGCAAAGAACTATGTGGAGGAGTATGTGTACGAAATGAGGGACAAGCTGCACGGGGTCCTTGAGAAGTTTGTCAGTGAGTCTGTGAGTATAATTGTCGCTCATAAAGTGGATTAAAGGTAGCATCTATACAGTCACCGCCTGGCACGTTTTGCCTTCCACATTTACATGGTGTGAAATCCTTTTCATATTTTCAGGACCGAGATGCGCTGTCATTAAAGCTGGAGGATACCGAGAACTGGCTGTATGAAGATGGAGAGGACCAACCCAAACAGGTGTACATCGACAAACTGACAGAGTTGAAGGTAATTGTTTCTATAGTAACAACTTTTTGCACTCCGTTGTTGGGTTGAGATACCAACTTCTATAACTGACGTGTGTGTTTATGTTTGCAACAGAAACTTGGCCAGCCCATCAAGGAGAGGTATACCGAGGCCGAAATGAGACCAAAAGCATTTGAGGAGTTGGGAAAACAAATCCAGCAGTACATGAAATTTGTGGAAGCATTCAAAATGAAGGTACGTCTAAATGCTTTAGAAGAAGAAAAACTTAAAAGTAAGAATGCTGACCTTTTTGAATACAATAAAAGTAATAATGCTTGCAACATAATATTGTGTTGTTTCTCGTATGATATCCAGGACGAGCAGTACGACCATTTAGATGAGGCTGATGTCAAGAAAGTGGACAAACTGACAAGTGATGCAATGATGTGGATGAACAGCTCCATGAACCAGCAAAGCAAACAGAACTTGACAGTGGATCCCTCCGTCAAAGTAAAAGACATTGAAGCAAAAACAAGGGTGAGTGTCTTCTCCATGAGAACAACATAAAACAAAGTACTAAAGAAAGTGACTCTCAAATAAAATCCCATAGATGTAAAATATAGATGCAACTTGCTCAGGACCACTAGATCCTGTTGTAGATTTGACTTCCCACACAAATGTAGGATAGGACTTTTTCAATAAAACCATTATAAAATATTATTTACCTTTTTTTGTGTCCTTGTCCAGGAGCTGTTCTCCGCTTGCAACTCCATTGTGACCAAGCCCAAACCCAGGGTGGAGCTTCCCAAGGAAGACAACCCTGCCGAGCAGAACGGGCCTGTGAACGGACAGGAGAAAGCGCCGGAAGAAGCTGCCAGCAAAGCAGCGACCGAGAACCCTGGCTCAGAAAACAAGCCTGACATGGACCTCGATTAAAGCCGCCCAACGGCCCGCTAAGCAAAGCTGAACGGGAGCTGGTTGTTTCAGATTGAGATGCAGCCTGGGTGTATATCAGAGCAGGTTAAATGTTTCAGGAAGTGCACTACACAGTCAAAAAGCAGGAAGGGTGATTAGCAAACGGAGAGCAGCTCCTGGTGGTAACTCTGTCTGATGACCTAGCATGCCCTCTCCTTCTGGATAACATAAATCTAAAGCCAGCCGCAATAAGCCTGTTTGACGATGAGCGCTGTACACATAATGGTATTTATTTCTGTTGTGTGCCCTGTACGTGTTCTGGTCTGTGTCACAGTATGGTTTTAATAAAGTTCCTTAAAACCACTTGTACCATGTTGCTTACTTTGTGCCAAATATTCCCGATGGCTCCACAAAGGCATTGCTTCCTCTCCACTGAGGCACAGCTCCTGTTTCTCTGGATTTGGGGGGGGGGTAGATGGCAGCAGTTTACACCACGTGACTGACCCCACGTGCGGTTTACACCACGTGACCGATGTTTCTCTAAAATAGTTCTGCTTTCAGGCGAACATTGTTACAATAAAGTGCAGTAAATTATGTGACATTAACTTGCTAGCTCTTGAAATCACGTAAGGTTGCATCTTGGGAAAAATATGAAACGGAAAAGGCGAATAGTTGTGTAAGAATTTTAAAAAATGCACCGAGGAATTTGAATATAATACCGTAAATGTTCTGCCCGAGTCGAATACGTGCAATGTTTCCATCTGACTAGAGGAATAAAAACGAACACACATCCGCATCCTACAGCAGCAGTCACGTGACTCCCCCGGATTCCGTCTGCTGCAAGTAAAACGGACACGGATCACATCCTCCAAGGTATACGCTTATTTTACGTTTTCTTTAACAATGTCCATATGTTCATCGTGCGTCGGTGGGGCGCTGACTCTACGGTAACAAGTTTTCGTCCCACTGGTGGTGGAACTTTTTGGCAGCTCGTTGAGCGACTCAATGCATTAAGCGACTTGATTAAAAGCGACTTGGTTTCCCACCGAGGGGTGTGATTGATGAGTCCAAGGTCTGATTTAAGGTGTGGGTTTGTCATCGTGTTACTTCGAGGTTGAACTCGTTCAGACAAACGGCCCGTTCCTCTTTTCTGGTGTTTTTCCCTCAAGGACGATGAAGTTGATCGTCCTCAATGACTACGAGCAGGCCAGCGAGTGGGCTGCAAAGTACATCAGAAACAAGATCCTATTGTTCCGACCTGGTCCGGACAGATTTTTTACCCTGGGGCTTCCCACAGGTGAGTAGGACCCGGAAGTTCATTTGTTTTAATAATGCACGGGGAAATTATTAAAATAATATGTACACGTCGTCGTGGCGCAGGGGTTAGAGAAGGTGTACTGGGAAGCACAAGGTTGTAGGTTCGATTCCGGGCTGCCCCATGTTCCATGTCGAAGTGTCCCTGAGCAAGACACCTAACCCCTAATTACTCCCCAGGCGAAAATGTGAAAAAGCCATGGGTTTAAAGTGTAATGTAAGTCGCTTTGGATAAAAGCGTCTGCTAAAATGACCTGTAATGTAATGTAATGTATTAAAATAATCTTTAATAAAAAACCACAACGTCGCATGGAACCTGTCTGAACAGTCATAATGTTTTAACTTGTCTTCTCCATGCGAATTTTTTTTTGCAAAGTTTAAAATATATAGTTGCCAGTAAACACTAAATATAGCAAAACCCGCAATGCAATCCCATTCATTTGGGGAATAACACCATGGAAGTGACTGGAAAGGAAACGTAAAAGACACAACTACTGATGCGCATTTAATTGAAATACTATGTTACTTTTGCTACACAATCCTTTGCATGTTTTCAGGAAGCACCCCTATGGGTTGTTACAAGAAACTAATCGAGTACTACGAGATGGGCCAAATCTCATTTCAGTATGTAAAAACCTTCAACATGGATGAATACGTAGGTATGTCTTGTCGTTGTCGTTCTTTCTCAACACATATAATGCTTTGGCATTTAGGAATTATTTAAACCTGTGATCTGTCATTAAACAAAAACCCTTTGAAATCCTGTACAGGACTTCCCAGAGATCACCCTGAGAGCTACCACTCCTTCATGTGGAATCAATTCTTCAAGCACATAGACATAAAAGCAGAGAACACCCACATCCTTGATGGCAACGCCGCTGACCTACAAGCAGAGTGTGCAGCATTTGAGGAGAAGATAACAGCTGCCGGAGGGATCGAGCTCTTTGTCGGAGGTCAGGAGATCCCAGTGCTGATTGTGAATGTGTCATAATCAACTGCATCATTTCAGATTTCCCATTCTGGCATCAAGTAACTTTTCAGAAATGATTGACGTAGTGACGACACTTACAAAGGCTACTCCTGTTCTCTCAGGTATTGGACCAGATGGCCACATTGCCTTCAATGAGCCTGGTTCAAGCCTGGTTTCCAGGACTAGGGTGAAGACCCTGGCAAAGGACACTATCGTGGCCAATGCTCGATTCTTTGATGGAGATCTCTCAAAGGTACCGACCATGGCACTGACGGTGGGAGTGGGCACAGTCATGGACGCAAAAGAGGTGAGAAGATTTGATGATTTAACAAACTATTTGGTACGAATGATCATATTCCTGTCAACGTTTTTGAGTTTGCGGAGCAGTGCATTGTTCAGTGAATCTTTCTGATGCGCTACGATGCGGCTGGGGGTCATATTTTCATCTCATTCTCAGGTCCTGATTCTCATCACTGGAGCACACAAGGCCTTTGCCTTATACAAAGCTATAGAGGAAGGTGTGAATCACATGTGGACAGTGTCCGCTTTCCAGCAGCACCCGCAGACAGTTTTTGTGTGTGATGAAGACGCCACATTGGAACTGCGGGTCAAAACTGTAAAATACTTCAAAGGTGAGACTACATCAAAAAGCTGCAGTGCCATGACTCCTATATTTCACTTTTCATAGATTGCAACCCAGTGTGCATTAAACCTGAATATTTGCAATGCAAAAATTCTTGCTCCTTCTTCAGGGATGATGCACGTTCACAACAGGCTGGTGGAGACACTTCCCTCAGTGCCAAAGAAGAACTGAGGCTATCATGTCCTCGTAATTGTTGATCCATAAGGCATTTTTTCAAAACTTTAAAGAGAGTGATGACCCCCAAATAAAAAACAATCCTGTTGCACCTTGAGCTGTTCTATTCATCAATTGTTCCAATGTTAAACTGTTGACAGCAATCTACATCTTTGGATTAACTTCAGGTGACTGAGTAACTAATTATCATTCGTGGATTAAGATCATGCTGTTGAGGTTTTTTTTGGACCTTTGAGCACCACAAGGTGAGTGCCAAATAGTTGAAAAACAAGGAAACTCACACCTACTTATCACATAGCGATTGATAGGTAGGATTTATCTTTTATTATTGATTTTGGGATGTACTGTCCCTCAAATACCAATGATTCCTTTTTTTTTTCTTCGAATGGAGTTGGTGAAAATCAAGCAGCGCTTGGAGTTCTTATTAAGGTTTTCATGTGATTATTCATACATCTTTGTCCTCATTTGTTCTTCTGAACAAAGTGCATTTCATTTGTAATCCATGTGATTATGGATGGTGTGGTATTCAGTCAGTTAACCAATGTGAGCTTTGAATGCTACTTGAATTACACGATGACAAATATATCCTACACTTTTACGAGCTAGAGTAAGTTATTGTTCTTTACTTTTCATACTTGAAGTTCATTTAATTAATAATATAGTTTTGAATGCTCATCACAGAAAACCTGAGGAAGGCGTGTCCCGCTCTGCTCTGCCTCTGATTGGTCGACCCTGACATTCTTTCCCTGACCTTTACCAATCCCACTCACTGAACACAAACATAACGGAAGCAATGCAACATTATTATTATCCAATCAGAGGCCGAGTAGGGCGGGTCATCCCTTCACCGTCGTAGGGGCGTCCAGGCTTCACGATCGAAGGGCGATAAGGAAGGAGATGGCCGACTAGAATCAACACCGCTACTGAATTGACTATTTGTACCCAACACATCTTCAAAGTTGAAGCGGGAAGAGGACGTTTCATATATTTCGTCACTATTTGGCAATGGCAGAACAAAACGGCAACGTTAGATACCAAGAGGTACGTAACAGGTTGCTGGCACATTGCAGTGTGGAAAGCTAACAGCTAGCGATAGATGCTGCCGTGTTAGCTAACGGCTAGCGTTAGCTAGTCAGCGTTAGCCTGTCGCTGAGAGGAAAACAACGCGTTTAACAGACGTTAGCGAAGGGGCGGGCCTGACTTACGGATAAATACCGTTACTTGAAGTAGTTGTGAAACCAAATTTAAACGGAAAACGGAAATAAACGCGGAAGTGATAAATATCTGCTCATGTAATTTAAAGCCTATGTGACCCAATTCCTTTTATTATTTTCCGTCACCTGACGGCGCTGCATTAGTGAGCGGTTCAGACCCTCAGATTACTGTGTTGTCAATAATGGACCACTGTAAACTATTCTAGTCTAGTAAATAATGACTATACGAATGTCTCCTATGACCACTTGTTAGACACTATATTACCCAATGTATCAATGAGACTGGCGACTTTGTCCCTCGTTGATGAGTTGGCACAGTTTTATGACGTTTCCTTAGTTCCTACGTCAGTCCTCCTCTGTTGTGCTCGCTCATGATCTGTTTTCAGCAGCAAACCAAGAGGTTCTGTGAGCCAAAGTGGGGCAATGTGTATAAAATCTTGTTAGATTGTTTTACAGGCAACTGGAATTTAAAATGTGACTGTTTACAGATTTGGTAACTGTCTGAGAAATGTCTTTTCCTCTCCTCATATCCAACAATAACAGTTTTCCTAGATGATGCGATTGAGGTCTGTCATTTATTAACATTTGTCCAGCTGGTGAATGAGGAGGAGCCCCAGCCATCCCAGGAGGGTCTTGCCCAGGATGCACCACCACCCTACAGCAGCATCGCTGCAGCAAATGCAGGTTAGGAAACCTCCACGTCTGCATTACGCTCACGGAGAGAACACATTTTAGAAGTGGGAGTGGGGATTTAAATCTCTAAATACCATTGCCAACACATACTGTTTTGAGTCTTGAATTAAAAACAAGTGAATCGGAGTGTAGAAGCACCAGCAGTGAGTGACGTTTGTCTTGTTAACAGTTTTATCCTCAGTCAAATTATTTTCATAGCATTCATCAAAATATGTTTTCCGTTAAAATCTACCAAATGAACTACGGCAACAATACTCCACAACGTGCGTTGTTTCTGCTGTAGCTTGTCCAGCCTCGGAATGAATAATGTACGAGGTGAAAGCTTTTGTGCGAGGCCTTTTTTAGAAAAGGCCTAATGTTTGTAATCTCCCTTCTTAAAGAGGCAACAGGTCAACAGATTGCATTAGTGGGTGTAGCTTTGAGCTCTTCTCGGGTGAATATATTGATTTAGTCCGATTCTGTATGTGTTTGAACGACCCCACGGAAAATTCTGGAGATCTACCAAATCACCCAGAGAACAGTCTTTGCTTGTATGGTATAGAGCATACACAGTAATGGATAAAGATTACGACGAATTAAGACGAATGACTTTCTTGCTGCTTTAACTCGTCCCCGTTCTGGTTTCTAAGTTCTCTACTGCTGCTTTTTCTTTTTTGAAGGAAATTAAACTACATAATTGTCTGTAAGCAACTAAACCTTCGTAACAGCTGTAAAACGGTCGACATTGTATCATTTCACTTCTGCAGTTATCAGAATTTTTAGTTACAAATTTTATTCAACATCTTCTGACTTTTTCATTATCTATGATTTGTCCGTCTGTTAGTACAGATAACTTATACAAACTGGTGATATGCATGTTTTTCAATGACTGTGTGACAAACTACTAAAATGGGTATTTATTTTTTAATTGCTGAATTATTTCTAAATCTACAGTGAGGGGACCCAATAGCGTTGGATGAAAGTGACAACGATCTAAAAATTCTAAAATCGGGTTTTTGTGCTCAAACATTGCGGTTGATGGTGAAATTGCCACCTAACTGCAATAAATATTATTAGTATTCATGTCACCTTACCAATGAGATGGATCTACAATGGTATTTAGTGTAAACAGTCAGGGATGTAGCTTGGATGAAAGCACAATCTACACACACTAAATCAACCGTAAAGACCCCGAGGAGGATTCTTTTTTTTTTTTTGCACAACGTCTATGCTCGTGGTTTTATTTATTTATTTTTCTAAAGAAAACAATGTTTTTTTTTATGACCTCTTGTTTTCTTGTCACCTCCAGCCTTCTTTGAATACAAGGAAGATGGAGGGCGGTTTCCAAACCCTCCGTCCTACAGTGTTGCCACCACTTTGCCCTCCTATGACGAAGCCGAGAGGAGCAAAGAGGAGGTTGCCATCCCCCTAGTCGCTGGGAGAGTCACGGTAGACTGATATCATTTTCAAACATTCCACCGGTTCACTTTCCAATGCAAGCAACAGAAACACTGGACGCATTCCAACACATGGACTCGTTTGTTGCTGCTTGTGCAGGAGGACGACTTTGTGGCCCGGGACGACTTCGAAGACACCGACCAGCTGCGAATAGGAAATGACGGCATCTTCATGCTCACTTTCTTCAGTAAGAATTGTTTGGCGTTTCAACAGTGTAGCTGTGTACTGTCTTCTGTCTGCGAGAGTAAATTAACCTTCATTGTCATGGAGCCGTAAAAGGACCAGTTATTTATACATTTTTCAATATGGTCAGTGACCATGAAAAAGATGCCCGCCCCCCTTCGTTTTACATTTGTTGCGTAGCTGCTCTTGAATAAAGGCCTTGAATGTGCCGTGTTTACAGAGGCGGTCACATGATTTGCTTGGTGCAGATTCCACTACTCCCACTGCACCAGTTTGTTTTCTAGAGTATGTGTGAAGGAGGGGGGGAAATGTGCCGGCCAGTTGGTGACTTATAAAAACAACAACAACGCAGGATTTATTGGATTAATAATCTCCCACATTGTATCGACTGTGCTTTGGAATTTACAGATTTATTCTATTCTTTTCCCAGTGGCGTTCCTCTTCAACTGGATCGGGTTCTTCTTGTCGTTCTGTTTGACAACATCGGCTGCCGGCCGATACGGCGCCATCTCTGGCTTCGGTCTGTCCCTCGTCAAATGGGTTCTCATCGTCCGGGTAAGAGCGGTCCAGTGGAATAGATCAGATGTTTTGACGCTGCAGGATAACCTGTTTTTTGCTGTATTGCTGTGCTCAAAGATTCTGACAACGCTCTCAGACGACCTTCCAGGATCTCGTCTTACAGCTTCTAACAGGTTCTTCTTCTCTCATGTCTTCAAGTTTTCTACCTACTTCCCCGGTTACTTTGATGGACAGTACTGGTTGTGGTGGGTGTTCCTGGCTCTGGGTAAGTGAGAAACATTCCATTCCGTTTGCTTCCCACGGTTACATTTAGGTAATGGTCTCTTTTCTTTCTTTCCCTGCAGGCTTCATGCTGTTCATCAGAGGCTTTGTGAACTACTCTAGAGTGCGTAAACTGGCTGATCCCACCTATGCCACTCTGCCCCGAACGAGGGTGCTCTTCATCTATTAGAGGTAATTAAGCCTTTCTTTAGTAAATAAACCAGTTTCAGCATAAGTCACCCAAATCTCAAAAACGTGTTCAGTTGCATTGTGGGTAGCAAAGTGACATGGTTTTGACGTCATGATAAAAACTTAAATCGCACTAAATTAAAGGTATTGTCTCGATCGTGTCAGTGCGAGTTAATGACGTGCATGTAGACGCAGCTACTGACAAAACGCACGCAACACGCCTCACGTCCTTTAAAAGGTTCACGCAGTTCCACCCAGAAGTCAATTTCTAGACTTGATTTGTTCCTTTTCCCCTTCACCTGAATCCAGGCTATCGGATGGCCGAGCTGGACATGGCGGACGCGAGCAGTAACCAGAAGTCAGCCAGACGAGTCATAGATGAAGTCGACTCTCAATAAGATTTTCAGGAATTGTATCACTTGTTTTATTTTCTTTTGCGACTTTATTAATGGAAAACGGTTAACAGTAATATTCCCTCGATGTACTCATTAGTGGCCAATGTTACGTGCTATTTACATCCGTCTATATTGTGCAAGTGATGCCTTTATATGATTTGATGGCGGCGTACGAGCATGCATCTGCTCTTAAGGTCGATACAAAGGGAGCGTCTGATGTTGGTGACACTTGAAGCCAGCAGGTATGAGTCAACTCGGCAGGTAGGTTTGTCACAGCATGCTTTGTAATCTGCACTAATCCTAGTTTTATTGTGACTACTATAGGCTTTACCTAAATGCCACATACACTTATAAAGATGGATCCCATCGGGCTGTAAGTGCAGTTGTACCACAGACGCACACATCACCAACCTGTCGGCTTTAAGTTGCGCTCGATTAACCAAGAGGGGGCAGTGTTGTTTGCTGCTTTTAGCTTATGAGAAATTGTTTATTATTGGTGTGCTCATATTAAAAAATACATGCTTGTGATTCAAACACCGTGTCAGTAGAGCACATTCAAATTACATCCATGTACCACGAGTTATGATTTTCCCAGTTAGATATATTGTTGTACATTAAATCAGGTAAACCACCAACCCGGGAAATGTAATTTAGGTCACAAATCGGATTTTAGATGATCCAGTCTGCGCTTTTCATCACAAACCCAGATGAACGGTAAAGGGCCGAACGCCGCCGCATCGAGGGCTGACAGGGAGACGATGCAGAGGGGTTTTCTTTTCTTTTTTTTGACAGCGACAGCAACAGGGAGGATTTTTCTTTTTCTTTATGGGTGTGTGAGCACATTTTGTGGTTCACGTCCTCAGAAAGCCGGTGCAGACGTAACGGCCCGACCTTTGCGCCTCCCCTTCATCGTCAGTGTCATTGTCACCTTCTGCTAGTGGAGATCTCACTCTTACGTTTGGATCAAATTATCTTTAAAACGTACATTTCAATTTTAGTTTTTTTTTCTTCCTTTTTTGCCATGAGATCTAATTGACCGTAAAGGGAAATCTGTTTATGGTTTTCTTTTTTTGAAAATGATTAATGCGGTGTGAGTTGCTTGCTATCTTGTAGGTGTTATAAATATATCAACGAATGTTGTATGCAGGTGCACTTTTAGAAACATAGTCAATAAAAGCCAGAGGACCGTCCCATCACTTTTCTCAGTCACAGAATTATTACACCAGTAAAAACGGCTGGCGCAGTGGTTTCGGTCTCATCCTCCGGAGGACACGGTGTGTCGGGACGACACCGCTTTTCGTGAGCTGACCACTGCCATCGATGGAAGGAGTCGGTGTGGATTTTAGTATTTTGCCTAATCAGTTAAGTTTGTTCTGCCGCGGCTTTGATGACCACCCATTATGCTTCTTTCTATGTGAACTAGAGCTACGACCTCGAGGTTTTGTTGTTATGAAACTGTACAGAAAAAAATGAGTGTTAAATAAATGTCACTTTTAATGCATCAGTTTTCTAGATTGTTACATACAAGATTATATTATTTACAGGTCAGTATTCTGGACCTGGGTCCTATTACACACCTGGTAAAAGCAAAAGGTTACTGCTGCTGAAAATATGGAATTCCTTTTTTTTTTGTCACCCTCACCTGTGGCGAGCGAGTAGCTCGGGAGGCGCAGGTGATGATCGATCTCTTTTCTAATCTGCTGAGACGAAGCTTTGGCTGCACAAAAGTGCAACGAGAGAAACTGCAGCACGCAACTTCCAACAAGTCAACCACATCCTTCCAGCCGATGGTTACAATGTTGCTTCCCACAGAGTCGAGTGCAATTTATGAGAAAATTAAAAATGCTTATCTAGACAAGGGTTATTCGCTCCTGCAGTGGGTTAGATAAAAAGATGATTACAATATAACTGTGTAAATATATTACCTAATGCATTATATCTATTTTAACTTCTCTGTAAGAAGCAGAGTTCCCCTCAGTGTGGGAACCATTACTTCACCTTGATTGACTTAATTCATTTTTTTTCTCTGCAGCAAAAAGCCCCGTTTCCAACTAAAACGGCATGCTGTTATTGGACCGAAAAACATTTTTGTTACAACAACACAAGCAGGACCTCGTCCTAATAACTATGCATCGGATTTACATCTCAAATACTTTGCCGCTCCTCTGCTACCATTTTCACGCAATTTCTCCGTGTCCCGTCGTTCGTTTTCACTCTGCGGAGTCTTCGAGCCGTCGGGGCAGGAAGAAGATGGCCTTCTGTCCGATGTGAGTTCTTGGGCCCAGTTTAGGTCTTCCGTTCTTCTTCAGGGCAACATACCAGTTCCTCTCCTGATATTTCTGACTTGCATATGTGTTGTAGTGGTTCTCCTCCAGCTTCTCCAGGAAGTAACATTCATCAGTCACGGTGGGCTGAGACGTAAACACACACACAAAACAGAAGAGCTGATTGCATGTCAGGGCCTTTGGGATTAAACGTTTAAGAAATAGTCACCAGTAATCATTCAAAACACACACATCTACATCACAGACCATTCATCTACATTTGCTTGCTTCATTAAGTGTAACGGGACGATTAACTTTATAACATCAGGTGCGCTGCAGATACTCACTGAGCTGTACAATCGGCCCTCGTCGCTCATGGCCAAATATCGCCCGGCTCGCGTTCCCTGGACAACGACTACGCCTTTATCCACCGCTGTGAGCTTCAACACAGCTGAAAGTTTAAGATAGCTCAGCATTGTCCATACATTATCGACGACGTGTCACAGGAGGGAAACAGTGGGTGGATTATGGTTTATGTGTCATTGAAGTTCCAGCCTGGATGCACAGTACCACAGTACCTAACACTGTTCTAGTTCATGAAGTCGAGGACACGCTGTGAAGGCCCATTACACCGGCCTTCATAGAGTCCTGAAACACTGAATGTATGCAGCATTTCCAGTTCCTTCACATTAAGTCAATGTTCTTTTGGTTAGACACCTGAAATACTCCTTTATCTGAAGTATTATCTTTTCTGTGACGCAAGAAGCAACAAAAGTACGTTTCTTATTTTCTCAGGCCTCCTGATCGTCCCCACAGGGAAAGAGAAATCAGCCTTTTCCTCCTGTCCACACTTCTTATGAAACAACCGCCCACGGATTCTACTGTAGACGTTTATCTGAAGACTTCATTTTCCTCTCCTACACATTTTTCCATGGACTCTGCATACCTAAAGAAACCTTTCAAGTATAAACTATTTTCTCTTTCAGCTTTTAAAGATTTTTGTATGTTTACACGTTTTGACTTTCTTACAACTGCAATCACCTCCTTTCTCTGGACTACTCAACCATCAAGAGCAGACAGATTCCTAGAAAATACGTCTTACTAATAATGGGAAAAGGCCTCTGCATTAAAGAGCATCGTGTGTCCTACTTCTGTATGTAATGTGGGCTATTTGCAATGATAGTTTCACAAATAAGTGTTTTCATCTTATTCTTCTTGCTGAACTTAGCTGGGATGTTTCCTCATATAGACCCCCCACATACACATATACACACAGCCCCCCCGCAGTGGCCTAGAGGAAGTAAGCGCAGTCTTACTGTGCACGTCGCCCTCGTCCCTCTGTCCCCGCACCGTCCCATCGGCCACGATCTGCAGGTGGTGTCCGCCATTCTTGCAGTAGAGACGCGTCAGCTGGCGGAAGTCCCCCAGCGGGCCGCCGTCCACCGTTTGGTCCCCTGACACCGACATCTCCTCCGCCATCCCGCTCGGAGGACTCGCACAGCTGCGCGAACCGTCGGGAAGGTTTCCGGAGGAATGTCTGCGGGGTGGGTCTGTTTCCCCCCCCGGAGCGGTCAGGTGTTTACATCCTCGTGAACGAGCGCGGGGGATCAGAGGCAGCTGGTTTGCGCGTCCCCGACTCCGGGCACGTAACGACGTGTGATCGATGACCACGACGCACATCGACCGCAGCTCCTTCACACGGGAATAATGGCGTATTCTTTTTTGTTTTAGGCGATGCAAACCAACCTCTACGATCTTGATAGGATTAAGTAGTTTTATTTGAAAATACAGACTTTCTATGGTGCTTAACAGTCTTTATACAACTTCATTTATTAAAAAAAAAAACAAGAACAGTTGAGACGTAGAAGTTTAGGTCATAAACCTCTCGGTGATGCTACTGGAGGGGACAGATGTTTGCATGAATGCAATGAGAATGTCAGTAAAACTCCCAACTCTTCAACGACCCATGATGCTGAGCTCATATATTCAATGACTGGATTGGTGCTGGATAAAAAAGTTTCATACAAGTCGCGTACCGCTTCAATCATGGCAAACATCTGCATGCGGTTCCTTGTTTGGAGAAGCACCACACAAAGACATACAGTTTGACCTTTAATCAACAGAAATCACACTACAGATGAGAAATAATAGAGGGCTAGGTATCGAAAAACGTATTATTTGGAGACAAATACACTTCTTTACAATGGATTATATATACACACACACATCATTTTTTTATTATGCAAAACCTTTTTTTTTTTTAAGAGAAAGCATATACCAGTAAAACATGATCTGCCCTTGATAATTCTGAAAAGTTTATGTCTGCATACGCTTTATACAAAATAGCTTTTCAAACAATATTTAGATAGTGCAAACCTTTCCTTGTGTAGATTCAAGCTGGTCGATTACTTTCACAAACAGTCTGTGTGTGAAAAAGACTGACTCCTATTCACAGTATTAAACAATTTGACCAAGTTGGCATAAAAAAAAGAAAATTAAAAAAAATCAAAACAAAGAACTGTACATTTGTCTTCCAGGAGCTACTTTGTTTACACACCGACACGTTACATTTGTCTGTGCTTGCTTTGGTCACCTTGTAGTCGAACATAAAATAGGCTTTTTGTGTGCAGTCGGTCGAGACTGACTACTGACTAAGTATACCTGAAATTCTGGCCTGCAAAGATATGTTAAATGTGAATCTCCTAAAGGAAAATAGCTTATACTGGAAAAAGAGTGGATAAAAGAAGCGACCACCTCTGGTTATGTGAAGGTTACAGATAATCTGTCGTTTCTATTGCATATTCTGTTGGCAAGTGCGCAAGTTTGTGTGTGTGTGTGTATATATATATATATATATTATATATAAATATAAACACACCTGTTTAAATAAACAGCAGCAGAGATTGGTATACACTGAATGTGAAAGTAACCCATGGCCACCGCTATGCAGTTAATGAGGATGGTTTTCAATTTTGAATGAACATCGGCAAAAAAATAAAAACAAAATAAAATCCTTTTTCTGAGCCTGGGTAACTATGAAAGACGACGGCGGCAGCACGTTAATAGAAATGTCCTAATCATGACGGAGAAACACACCATAAGTCACAGAAGCAGACACATTGCGGGGATCCAAACTGACCGTTTTTTTGGTTCTTTAAATCAGGACATTAAATGACTTTACAAGCACGTACTGCAAGAATCAGACATTCAATGACTCCATTTTAATGACCTAAACATGGGAAACGCTACAAGATGTATAACAACTGCTTTTGTATTTGAAGTTGGGATACTTTACCAAGAACAAAACAATGACATTTTAAATGAGTGCTTTGTTATCGCTCACTTTACATGTTTATCCAATTATCTTAAACTGGCAGTTCATCCGCTTTCAACTGCTTGAATCTGTCAAAAGCATTTTTATTGAATTAGTTCCTCTAAGCTTAACATTCATATCAAACCTGGATTATATTGTGCGTTAAGACACATGCATCAAGACAAACTGAGCTGACGACTGATGAAAATGTTGCAGCACATTTCAAATCCACACACACACACACAAGGGATGCTGACGGGCCGACGCGATGCCGTGTGATCACACAACCCATCTGTGTTACAAACAGCGCTCAGCTATCACTCATTAACAAGGACTTCTATCCAGCGGACAGCAGCTCCGATCATTTGACAAATTCATGAGCTTCAATACGTGAACTAGTTTCCCCTCTACTGATGCAATCGCTGATCAGACTTTCAGCATCACTGGAAACAGACAAAACTGGAGTTTGGCACAGAAACAGTTCTCAGAGAATACAAGGGTCCACTTGCCCTGCCTCCCTAGTCCGTGACATCATGAGGAGGCCGATGAGTTCTTTCCAACATTGGGGCTCGACTAGCTAACAGACAGGCATGTAAATGTATTAAAGACAAGGTGCCTACTGGGCGTTACAAGAGCAGAAGGCTTGAACGGGAGGGGTCAAAGGTTATCAGCAGCTGTGAGAGGTTTACTGGATAATGAATCTGCCCGATCTAAAAAGCCGTATACACAAGCGGTCTTTCATCTACGTCGTTCATATTGAAACGGATCGTTGACAGTTAGGAAAACGTCTCATTAGTGTACGTTTAATAGGAAGCTGGAGCCAGGAGCCAGTTAGCTTAGCTTAGCATAGAGTGTGAAACAAGAGGAAACGACCGAGCAAATAAACGCACATTGCAGAATGTAGCAGAACATACTGTAAAAGGATTATCGGTGGCAGAATCACAATGGCATGTTGGTCAGTTTAACAAAAGAACGGTTATTTGAGCAACGCTAAAAAACAGAAATGAGTCTCCCAGATGAATCAAACATGACATAACTTTGCAAACAACAAAACATGCCCTCTTCTGATTGGTAGACGCAGGTATCTAACATATTGTTCTGTCATTCCATTATTGGGCTTTTTTTGGGCAGTCTTTCTTCACAGTCCTTTAAAGCCGTTGGTTGGGTACAAAGTGCTCTAATCGCCCTTAAGGAGTTGAGTGTGTGGATATCGCATGCACATCGAGGTTGGGCCGAGCTGCTGCTTCTACTGATAAACACGGCCATTGGACAAAAGAAAAAGAGGGGAAAAACTTGTAACTGCATGTAACATAAAAAGTACAATCAACATACGATGAAGGGATATCGTGGCGGGTTTAAGAGAGCACGCCTTGAACAGGAAGCAAGAGATGGCTTTGATGAGATGGGACGCAAAAAAAGGCACATTCTTTTCCCTTTTCTGACCGACTCGGGTAAAACCTGCAAGAGGTAAGCTTGTGTGAGGAATCGTCCTTTTAACGATGCACGACCAACAGTAAATCAACAATACTGTTTAGATTTACAGAAGACCCCCACACCCCTCTACTATATTTGAGATAAAACATTGTTAAAATCGGCTATAAAAACTAAATGAGCAACGTACAGTCTAAAAGCCTACTTAAGAGCGCGTCATATCAAGTAAGCTTCGTTAGCGTCCCGGGTGACAACCTGGACATTTATATAAACCGTTACAATTTGAAAATGTAGAAAATGCTATCAGAACCTGTACATAGATATCTGTTTATCTACCTTAGATTTTGTTCTGGATTTGAAGGTAAGAAACCTGAGACCACGTGGATGTTGGCCTATATCTCTCTGTGATTATCGTTAATCTCACAAACACTTCCTACTTGTTATAAACATCTCTAGACTCCCTCCGGACCCGACGGCCATGACACACACACGCTCACACACGTCATTCACCCCTCGCCGCGGATCCTGCTTCCTTTCATGGTCGAGGAGAAGAGGGGGTTTGGGGCCGGGGGGGATTGGAGAGGTGGGTGGATTTTAAGGCATCGTGTCAGTTTTACGGGGGCACAATCATCTCTGGTGGAAGAGCAGAGGCTTGACGCTCCCGGCCTTGAATTTTGGTAACTGGTTGCTGATGATCTCGGCGAGCATCTCTGGGAACTCCACGCTCAGGGACTTGTTCACGAAGGTGTAGAAGCAGAAGCTGAGCAGTCCGCCGACCATCTGGGGACGCACGGGGGGGGGGGGGGGGGGGGGAAGAGAAGACAATGTGTTAGGGGAGGAATGTGACAAACACACATGTGAGACGTGGCATGTGGCGGACCGGGTACAATCATGTTGTAACCTTTACAAGTCCTAGGAATAAAAGTAAGGGCAAAGGGGGAAACGAACGACCTCTGCACCTCATGCATGGAGTCCAGCAGCTTGGTCAGCTGATAGAAACGCTGCCAGTTCTGGCTGGAGTTCTCCTCGCGCTTCACGATGGCTTTTCCCAGCTCCTTGATGTACGACATCCGAATATCGTCGAACACCGTCTGGCTCTTCAGGCCGTCCTTTGGCACTGCGGGAGAAACCAAAGGTCAACTTCTGCGATGGAGATAATGATAATGTAATGTACACCACAAAGGAGGAGGGACACCCTTTACATTTTAAATGTTCATGTCCAGGCAGTGAAGGGCGCTTAAGGGCACCGGATTAATATACATCAAGTCATTTTCAGGGTGAACTCTTGGCAATACTCTGCAGCACGGAGCAATTACGTGTGCAAGAACAAAGCTAAGCGCCCTGAGGGCCGATGTGTGAACTGTAACCTGTATATCTTTTAAATGTTTTTTTAATTGTTTTAATTATAAAAGGTCTTTGCTTACGTCTTCAATTCTCCTGCATCCCATTACCTCGGACATAGCACAAAGTGGAGATATGTGCTTGCGGTGTACTTTTCTGTATCAAACCAGGCAGCCCTGTTAAGACGTATTTACCATAACTGCCTGTCAGTTAAGTGAGCTGGTAAAGTTCTGTCCTGCATAAGTAAATATTATCTGATCGGAGGAATAGCTCATGCAATGATGCACAAACGCGACCGCGCCTTCAACATGTGACAGTTCAGCTGCTCTAAAGTGAAAAGTCTGACCTGTGCTGAGCAGCAGCAGGACCTTCATGCACAAATACTCGTCGTGGGAAACCTGGAGCCGGACGAACTCGCTGGAAATCTTCAGCATCTGCTCGCACTGGTCGGCCATGTAGGGCAGCTTCATCCGCTCGCTGGTGGAATCAGACAGTACGGGTTATATAGTGGGACTCCTGCCGTCACACAGGATTTATAAGGGTGGTTTGTGTGACCTCATTCAGGGAGATGAAGCAGCGCACCGTAATATCGCTGCAGATTAAATGTTCAAGGTCTTGCTACGAGCCAATTGGTGGATCTCATTTTCTTCCAGAAGGTTGACAATGTATTTTTCATTTTTTCATGACCGAGTTTGAACTTATTATTGTGGGTGAAAGTAAAAGTGGGGACAAACATCTTGAAATGTATGATTGAGGTTGCCTGTTCATTCCATCCAATTTAATTTGAGACACACTAAACCGAAAATTCATTAAAAAGAGTGCATCACTAAACAAGCGTTATTTACATGAAACCACGGCAAAGAAGAAATTGCCAAAAGGCTTTAACCAAATTGAGAAAGATTGTTTCACGCCTGTCACAATCTAATTCAAATAAAACAATCTGAAAAATGCTGTAGCTGAATTTTGTCTTGAGGCGGACGGGCGAATGGAGAGCAAAACATAATCAGATATTAATTATGATCCTATTAACTTTCAGCTCGTGATCATGGAGAAAAAAACGGAAAAACAAATCAAAAAGGCCCATTACAGCCCGGAGCACCAGACTCACTACACTCAGAGCGCTGCTTACGATCGGAGTCATCAAGTCTATGAGGATGAAGCACTGATTACTGACGGCAGTCACGGTTTGGTTCTCTGGAGATGACACACACACACACACACACACACACAAAAAATGGGGCGGCACATACTCGTTGATGACGAGGTCTGGTGCGAAGCAGAGCATGTGGCCGTTGCACTGCTGGTAAGATCTCCAGCCCAGGCCGAAGGACATGAGGAAGAGCCAGGAGCACTGCAGCAGAGTCATCTGGTCGTCCAGGTGCAGGTTCCTAAAACCTGCGGGGAAGGACGTGGCAATACTTCAGCCGGCTGCCAACGCGGTCGCAACGTGACACTGAGAGCCACCAATACACATACGTGTTTTCATCTGAAACCCTTTTCTCAATGTGTCCCATCTTTGTCTTCTCTCATATCTACCAATAGCAGCTACTTTTGAATACATCCACACGGTGGACACCTACTGCGATGGACACGCGCCCCTCCTCCGTCCCCCCTACTACTGACGCAGTCAGCCACTAACCCGGCAGAGCCTTGGCCCACTTGACCGCAGAGATGACCTGCCGGCCGCCCAGCCTGTTGAGCGTGGTCATGAGGCGGGTGGAGGTGTCGGGCAGGGTGCTGTCGTAGCCGGCGTAGATGGTGTCCGGCTCGATGGCCTTCAGCAGGGACAGCATGGTGGGAATGAGCTGAGGCATGCACTTGGGTAGGAGGGAGCGCGTCTCGACCGGCGGAGCGGGAGTGAGCTCGGGCGGGTTGTTTGGCTTTAAGCGGTTCAGCTTCTTGGTTTTTCGCGCTGCAGAGAAGCAATTAAGGAAAGAATCAAAAGAAAAGCCGAAAGAGGAGACAGGAGCGACCTGAACGGCGGCCCGCGTTTGGCCGCCATCGGCGGGCTTCACGACATACCTTCCAGGTTCATGCCTGCCATCTGACACTTGCGGAAGCGGCAGGCCGGGCAGTTCTTCCTCCTGATCTTGTCTATTATGCAGTCGTTCCTCCCAGCACACAGGTAATTATGCTGCCCTGAGGCACACAGAGAGAGAAAGATTAAAATGGGTCATTAACTACCGCGGTTCGTCCCACACTCCGGGGAGAGAGGGAGGGAGTAAACTAATTCGCTGTATCCCCGGCCTTTTACCTCGCAGTGATTAGGCCTCCGCCTTAATAGCCAAAATGACTCCAGCATTTTAGACAGGTCAGTGACCACTGAGTTTATCACAGGGGATGAACACAAGATGAATCGGTCAGGGAGGAGAAAACGGGGGCTTCCGGATACCTTCCACTGCTCTCTTGAAGAACACCTTGCAGCTGCCGCAGGTGAGAACGCCGTAGTGGCAGCCTGAAGCCTCGTCAGAACACACCAGGCAGATTTTACGAGACCCGCTCTTCCCCGGGCTTGAGGCGGTGGCAGTGACCACTTCCTGTCTGGAGGCGGAACTGGAGAGGGGGGAGAGAGGAGACAGAAGAAAAGGGTATTCAGTCACTCTGAAAAGTTCTGTGTCGGGTTTCTGAACTCTCTGAAAGGTTTTTCTAGTAATCGATACCCACTTTAATTGCCTCGTGCACAACAATCTACAGGTGGAGGAAATGCCAGTAAGGAAAGAATGTGCCGGTAAGTGCAGGAATCCCCACCCCTCCTACCAATTCTGGATTAAAACCATACAGCTTTTAAACTTCAAAGGAAAACACAACTGTTTTAAAGGGATGGACACGTTGGACCACAAGGATACACTGGAAAGAGTGTTGGTGAGTTTTACCCCAAAACAATGACTACAATCTTAACTTTGTGTTTGAGAAAGTGTGAAACAATCTTAAGTATCACAAAATAGTTGCAGATGTTCCAAGACCAATCCGGAGAGAAACTCATTTGATCCAAACCGCAAGTGTTCAGTCTTCAGTAAACATCTGGTTGAAATGCACTTTTTCAAATCCACCACTAGAGGACGTCAGGACTTTGCAGCATCCATGCTGAGATGGGTCCACGCCCCCCCTTCCTGAAACTGGTGTGGCCACAACAAACAGAGCGTCCACGGCGAGAGGTTAGTTAACTGTGTCGGCCTGTGACCCCGTTGGCGACAAAGCCTTTTTAAACAATTGAATTTATACAACCCTACACGAAACAATGTAATAAAACTTAATTTCAATGCGCCCGTGTGTTGATGTTCAGTGAGCGGCGTCCCGAGGCTCTACCTCCTACCCATAGTATACCTCATTAGGGGTTTTTAGTGAATTAGGAAGCCATTGTTTGTGAACAGGTTTAGCCGTCAGTAGAAAGCTATTTAGGTCAACACAGCTAAACTAGGGATTAGGGACTTTTCAAAGTTTCACCTTTCTCAAGAAGCTGAGTAAATGATGACGTGTGCCGATGAAGAGCACGGCTAGTTAATTACAGACTGTGGTGAAAGCAATGCTACCTTTTATAATCAAAACAGTATGTAACTCGAAAAGGCAAGAAGTTGGGAGTTTAACGCCACTAAATCACCTTAAAACAGTACATCATCATTTTTATTGAAATTTTAGCTAAAATCTGCCCAAACTAGGAAACAGTGCCGTCAAAGCTCTTTTGGCTCTGTTTGTCTAATGGAGCGCGGGGATTTGGGGGGGGGGATTCACTGGCAAAGCTCTGTGTAAACTCGCCGCCACGTTACCCTCTACTACGCTAGAGCGCTCAAACAAAATGCCCTTTGAAGTGGCAAGAAGACAACGAGGGTAACCGGCAAAACCAACATCCCAAAAACTACAGAGAATAGTTCACTATGTCGAGCATATGTGAACTTACATACTTCACTTTCACCGCACAACCCAATCACTGACATGACTCGCTGGTGGCCAATCGAGTCTCACAGGTACTGAGTCAGATACAAATCAAACCTTTCTAAACAACAGGGTGAAAGTGTATGAAATAATACGCTATTTAATACACGTAGGTCAATACAGAGGACTTGTGCTTGCTATCAAAGTCCCCTCAATACACGACTCTATGCATTGTACAGAAGGTAAGAAGTAGGCTGTGTGCTACACTGGTGTCAGATTTCCTCACGGTATCAGTTCTTCAGTCATACCGTGCGTTGCCGTAACAGCTGATGTTGCTCTTCAGCAGGCAGCAGTTTATTTTTACAGGCGTGCAGCAGTCAGAGCTACTTGTTTTACATGTATAGAGAATGAGTCATGGTTTTAACATTTTACAGCAATTAATAACCTACAACAAACAAATAGTTGAGTTTAAGCAGCTCAAAAAAGTGGGGGCTCACTGAGCTCTCGACCCGGTGGTGAGGGAGAAGGCAGATTTAATTAAAACCAGTGACACATTAAAACCAAAAGATCAAGCTATTCAAGAGAGCCCGCTCTTAGAATAATAATCAAATTCTATTAAGGACACTAGACAGAAACCCTATAAATCATTCTTTGGTGAAGAGGCGGGAAGATGAAACGCAACACAATCAGATATCGGAATCCAAAACTATGAACATGCTCTTACAAGTTGCTTTGTCATGATCGGAATATCAAGTGTACCAACATGACGTTATCTTTGGTTCTACAAACGGCTTTTAAAAAAGGAATATACCCAGTGAATAACAACATTAAGAACACTGTTTGCTGTGGACAGCACCCTCTCAGCGTGTCAGCAACGACGTTGGATGAAACCGGGACTGTGATAAAGGCAACAATCACAATATTCTCAATATAGAAACACTTATTTTCTCTTGATTTCATGCAGTCAGTTTTCATCAAATTAATATTTTCCAGTTGGCGATATGCCGCCTTGTTGACAGTATCGCCTTGTCTTGTTATTTGAATTCTTTGTAAACACACGGCCGAGACGAGTGTAAATTCCTGCCGTTGGGAGAACAGCCAACTATCCAGCAGAAAACACTGGCCGGGCCGAAGGGACATGTATACAGCTCGTACCAAAGCTGTGGCGCTGCAATGAAGTGAACCGCATGCCATCTGTCTCACACAGGTTCATGTGGGGTTTCCCCAACCGACTTCGATGAGACAAAACACGCACGCGCTCGCACGCCCTTCAAGCCGCAAAATAATGCCGTTTTAACAACCAGGTTGTTTGGAAGAGGCTAATGAGTTCAGAGTGATGTCAGAGGTGGGTGAACCAGTTCATCCTTCATCATCTCCCCCCCCTGGCAGCGAGACGTCAGGGCAGCTTTACCAGAAGGCCGGGTGCTGCTGGTTCAAATCCAATTACAGCGGCGTCGATTCGTTTAGAACGAAAAAGAAAGCTTAAGACGTCGCCGTCACCGATTTGCATTGTTTTCTCTAAACTCTCCCTGGAATCAGTCAACTAGGCAAACAAGTCACACAAATCAGTTGTTTGTGGCTGGTCACGAACAAAACGATGGAAACAAAACAGTGCGGGTAAACCGCGTTTCCCCTTTCTGAAAACCATCTGTTGAAGTTAGTGCATGCCATCGACAGGAAGTCCTTGCATTCCCTCGGAGTTTACTATCGGCCAGAGCGCAGCTACAGCTCGGAGGCAGAGACACCCGGACACGGGCCTCGACCTCGACGGGCGCGGCGTGGAGAAAGTTAACCGCTCACGCCTGTGATCAATCAGAGCCGGGTTTAAATGAGCCGAGCCACTTAATGCCTGTGGCCCTGTGCCCTGCTTAACTAATGGTAATCTCCTTTTCGCTGTCACGAGCAGCGCAGCAGGTAGGTCACAGCCCGTCGTTCGACATATCATCGCAAAACCCCGATAGCTCTTTTTTGGACAATGCGTTGTGCATTAACTATGAATCAACTTTCTGCAGCGGCAGCCACCTTTAAAAAGACGTATTTCACAGAATGATTCGAACTGTCATTCCTTTCAACCGGGAGTCTTAAAATAAATTGATTGTTGACGATTTGCACAAACACCTGGCTGAGTGGCAGCACGCGCCGAACTGCAGTTGTGATTTACTGTGGAGATCGCTGCTACCGATAGAAATGTTAGCGCAATGGTCAACCCTAACAGTAACTAACTGAGCACAAAGGGAGCAGAAGGAAGTGCTCCCTCCCCGAGGTGAGGGCCACCGAAATAGAATGGGAACTGGTCACTGTGCTCTGAATCACAGTCGGGGAGCCTGCGTCTGTCTGGTCATAAGACCAGACTTCTCTCAAAAATCGCTGCACGCTTTGACAACAGACAGCGTGTCTCCATGAGTGCTAAAGTATTCACTGCGCCATGAAGGTCATCGGGCGTTTTTACGGCCCATTGCTTTAGTCCACGAAACCAGCTATTAAGAGAGATGGTCTTACACGTGATTCCCCCCCACCCCCCCTCCCCGGAGTCACTGCCCCCCTATTGATAAACCCTTCAATAACAGCTGCATTCTTCCGAGTGCAGCACACAGGTTGGCTGAGTACAAGAAAAACAAGGCCTAAGGATGAGCGTTTCCATCATTTTAGCTGTAGGCGACCGCATGTGTAGGTGCGAGGTGGCGTCGCAGCCCGCTGCTGCCGTTTGCCCAACAACAATACCTTCAGCTGGATGTGGGCGGCACCCGCTCTCAATTTTTTGGCATTGCTGACTCAACTGCACACAAAAGTAAGAAGGAGAGGGGGGGGGACAGATCACAGACTTAGCCGCATCCTCTTACCCTCAATGAAGGGACTTTATATAAGCCTATTCAGTGTCAAAACACAACACAAACTAAATAGAGAAAAATGGCGGTAACAGGACAGCGCGTTAATATCGGTAAAGTGAGGAGTTGATCTGGTGCGCTAACTCGGCGCCAGCTGTGGTCAGGATGGAGGGAAAGTAGGTCAGGAGAGTGAGAGCGTCACGGCAGCCCGGTATGATCCGCCCGCCTGCCACAGCGCTCGTGACGACACACGCACGCACACACATCCACGCAAGCACACATCCACACACACACACACACACACACACAGGCTAAGATATAAAGCGTGATTTACAGTAGCTGAAAATCTTCTGCTGACAGTCAACGTCCCTGCCCTTGGTTGCAGGAAGCAAAGACAGGGGGGCGGAGAGAGAAAGTGAGGGAGGGGGAGGCAGACAGACTGGCGAGTGAGGGAGAGAACTGAGGGGTGTGCCAGATCGCAGTGCATTAAATAACACCTCCGACCACAGCTTGCTCTCAAAACAGCACAGACTGAAACCACTGGTACACACACACGTCTGAAATTCTGAACACAAACCCAGTTAGAAGAGGTGTGCACACTTACGTATAGGGGTGGGAATCTCTTGGCACCTCATGATTCGATTCCGATTCAGGGGTCAACGATTCGATTCTAAACCGATTATCTATTCTAAACTGATAAAACGATTATCGATGCATCTCAATTTTCTAAATATTCTCAAATCTGAGTTTGCTACTCAGAGGTTGCTAATCACTTACTACTTTATTTGATAATTAAAGAAAATCAACAGATGAATTACCTTCTCTCATTTTTTATAGGAGAAAAAAAATTCTGTCACA